TGGCCTACAATTTAGCCTCAAGGACATGTGTATGAAATTAATGAGACTAGTCTACTACTTACCCTGAGATGACATTTACTCACTCTTTTCTTGACAATATTTTCCACGCCAACCTTTAGGGCAAATACAGGTGTAACCATGTTCTTCCGGTTGGCATGCGGCGTTGTTCTGGCACCGGTGTCCTTCACAGTGGTCTATTTAAAATACAGCCAAAAGAAGAAACTTCAACAGCTTCACCGCCCTAAAACACCCTTTTACTTGCTTGGAATTCAACTGTATTAGGCTCTCTGGTAAAGGTGAAAAGATGAAAAGTTGGGATATCTATTTACATTTATTATAACTCGGATAGTCGAAACGATTAGTCGAAACATTTATGTTTACCTTTTCATATTTGGGTTTATATGCAATATTGCAAAAAAATACATAACATTTACTCACGCTTGTGGCAATACTTTCCGGTCCAGCCTTTAGTGCAGATACAGGTGAAACCATCTTCATTCGGTCGGCAGGTGGCGTTGTTCTGGCACCGGCGTGTTTCACAACCGTCTGTTATAATTGGCATATATATATATATATATAAGAAAGGGAGAAGAGAAGAATGTGAAAATATATATTCAATAGCTATGGTCGTGGTGAAAATCTGTCAAAGTTCTTCTCCCTGTCTAAGCCAACATTTTCAAATAGACAGCTGTGTAAATAATATTATATGCATTAGACACCTAGAAAGTAAAGGGAAAAGGATAATCATGCTGGAGTGTACATGTGTATATATCACGATGAACCTGTGATCCAGAGCGCAAAACGTACAATTTTTGGCTAAAGACCTTATTACCTTACTTTACTTTACTTTATAATTTCAAAAGCCTCAAAAGCTTTTCTGGATATAAACCACTAGGAGTATTTGCTCACTCTACCTCCACACTAAATTTCAGATCATTTGCCAAAAAAAAGAAGAAATCGAATCCTTTTGACTGAATGGCAGGAGAAGGAGAAGAGACACCAGAGTCAAAGAAAAATATCATATTTCATCTATACCATGGTATGAAATTAAGTATAAAAGTGTTTTCTATCCACCTGCACAAACGACTCCCACGTCCTGGTCATGCTCACAGAGCAACGCCCATGGATGCCGTCTACACATTTCCAGGCTAGCCTCGGTCCCTTTACAGTAGAAAGTCCAGATCTTCCGTAGTCCGTCTCCGAAGAAGCTGTCCTCCGTACCGTTAACTGCTCCTGTGTACCCCAGGTGTCTGCACGCGACATCAGCATCATTTATGTCCCACTTATTGTTACAGACGCTCCCCCATTTTCCTGACTCCCCCCGAACCTCCAGCCGCCCTTCGTTACGTGTCTTTCCGCCAACAAGTCTGACATTCAGATCTGCAAGTGAAGCAAGACATGGTCACAGAGTGTCACTGAAAATCGAGATGTCGCAACTTGTTCAATGCACAGATTATAGTCAATACGATTCTTGTGAATCTGACATGAATAACTAGGCTTGAAAAAAAATTATGTCGTGAAAGATCTGTACATGGATAGCAATCTATGAGACTCGATTCTGAATTAAACTAATCAGAACTAATCTGTTAGAAAGTGAACAGTTTTATTCGGGGCGTTGATGACAAGAAGAAATCTGGTCGTCAAGAAGTACTTACAGCAATTTGAATTCAGCGGAAGTTCGTCCGAGCCGTCGGGGCAGTCTTCATCGCCGTTGCACACGATATACAAGGAAACGCAGTGGCCATCAAGGCACTGCCACTGGTACTCGTCCTGACCACATGTCGATCGTGCTTGAAATCAGGCAAAAATACAGTTAATCCTCACATGATGAGTCAACCTATTCCGCAGCCTATGTCTATGCAATGAATACTAGGCATAAAGTGAGATACGGCTAAATGTAGGCTCCAAAACGTTTTAAAACTTACCATCCCTCTTTCTCACTATTCCTCTTTGATGGGACTGTCTTGGGAAATGAGTCTGTGACTAAAAAGTGACCAAAAATGTTGTTAGAAATATAAATCGTGGCAAGTACGCAGTTCATATCTGACAGATAAATGTGATACACCTACAAAGTTTATGCACCGTCATAAACCTGAATAACGACAAAATTTCGAGGAAATTTTGAGGTCAATAAGCCCCACGTTTCCATACCTCAAAGGTTTTGTTGCATTGCCTAACGAGGAGCTTTTCAATGGAACTGAGATGGCCTGTATCTATTGACAGTCTAACCTGATTCCTGGCGCTGTCTCGTATGTTGCCTTGACCGGTCTCGACATCCGTGAGTTTAGCGGTTTGCCGGTTAAGATCGACAGTGGATCGGTGGGAATCCTGTCTCCCCTCGACGTCCCCGAGTCTGTGTGACAGGTCTGCAATGGCCGCCCTCTGGTCTGCAATGGTCGCCGTCTGGTCTGCAATGGCCGCCGTCAAGTGAACGTAAACAAGCACGTTCATAAGGAGGGAACACACAAACAGGCAGACAGTACCAGCCAGAACTAGCTGTAGGCATCTTCTGTCGTCATGTCGCGTTTCGTCCCCGTAATTCACGTCTTCCCTGTATTTACCCATGTTGATGTTTTAGCCGTTTTGTTGGATCAAAAAGGCCCCGCAACTGCACCGAGTTGCAAACATAGAACGAAAGGTCGTTTATGGGTTACTGCCCTGGGCAACCACCAAGGCCCTGTTCATTTGTCCCCACTACCGTGGCTGTCAAACGACTCCTTCTCAACTATCAGGTGAACAATTGTTATGTACACAAAACACGGTCCCTTCAAGTTGACAGAGTCAGGTCTGTCAATAGAGCTACTAGTGTTACATTTCAGTACTTGCTGAATGACACACCGATGTTTCTTTCTAATGTCTAATGATGAAGTCGTAAGCTAGGCAGCCAAGATCATAGTAATATAAGAAAAGACAGTGGTAAAGAAGAACAGTCTTTTATTTGTTTAACCTTCAATGATATTTACAAACGTGGACAAAGATATAGTTATTACGACGATTTTCTCCGACCAACATCTTCTGATCAGGTTCAACTATCACGATTCAATATTAGTGTTATGGCTTACTTCATTTTCGTACACATGTAAATTGATTAATAGAAAAACATGCCCTGGCATAGTTACTCTTACGTGTACAAGTTGATATTTACAACGTGGAAATGAAACACAATACGTACCAAAACTAGATACAACTGACATTGTTAAAACATGAAAGCAATTACACGCAACCACATTGATTGTTTTACAGGTTCATAAACTTGAACTTAATTGCTATTCAATATTGTACGTAACTGACTTGGCAGTGTTGATAGCGTACTTTGCATTGTCTATATAGAATTGACCAATCATGTTACAATTCACAATGTGATATAGGAAAAACCAGTCTATCCCCAATAGATAGTCACACCTGTCTAAAATCTTTGGATTACATTTTTAAAACTATATGTACATAGAGCTTTCTGTTAAAGGACTGAAATCACAATGGTGTAGTTAGTTACTAGCAGACAGTTTGATGGCTCCAAAGAACGTGCTGTCCACATCCGTGCCGATGTTGCACGTCTTGCTTGTCGTCACGTAGACGTAGACTTTGGCCCCGTACTTGAGGTCCAGCACCCCGCCTGTGTAGCACGTGTGGCGCGGAGGGTCCCCGTACACCGGTAACATGCAGGTCAGGTACGGGTCCTCTCCTACGTATATGGAGTATTTACTGCCTGCATCACTCTCGTCCCCAGTAAATTCCACCTGTTCGATGTGGATTAAATGAGAGTCAGTAGCAATCAAGCTCTATAAATGTGAAATTTAAGAGACATAGTAAGAATACTTTTGATGAGGTGACAGAAATTTGGTAAGAAGGGTTCAGTGATGAGAAAATTAGGCTATCCAAATTTCACACGGAACATGCTCAATTTCTAAATATAGAATTATTTTCTTATTCACCTGGCTGTAGACGAAGTATTTTCCCGGCTCCAGAATCTCAAGCTTCCCATCCTCAAACCCAAATCGTGGCTCGTGAATATCTTTGTTCCATCGGGTGAAGATTCCCTCTGAAAAAGTGACGCGTATAGTATAGTATTCAAAGTCGTGCCCATGCATAACAATGGCTAAAAGACTGAGGAAGGGTTTGCCATGTTAAATTCACCAAAACATCTGACACAAAAAATTGTTACACTTACCTTTCACCGTAATGGAGGAAGAACCTGTCCTTGTATCTGTTATATGGTAAACATGGAAATAGCTTAAAGGGTTGTGTGAGTATAGTTAACGCTGTGCCGGTAAATGTAAACATCACAATCATAAGTGATGGCTGAAGTCCCAGTTTTTACTTACCTGTCCTCGGTAGGATGTGGACTGACAACAGAGATACCTGTGGGGGAAATAACCAAGATTATTTTTAGATAAGATAGAACTGTTCCCCTTATGTTAGTATGCAAGAGCTAGATCATTGTTATCTGTGTATATCTTTTTGTTCATAGACAAACAGCACTGTCAACCATGGATGCTGATATGTATACATGTAACAGTAATAGCATGTACACATAGACATATGTGTTGTTGTTCTGGCGTGAAGTCGCGCTAACGACAGCAAACTAAACCAGAAAGTTAGTAAAAATGGTTTGTTTACCTGTGCATGAGAAAACTTTTCCTTATGATGTCTGCGCGTCCCTGTAATAATATTGAATCAATGAAAAGGAGCACGACAATCATAATTTGACGCCAGCATTGACATCTATTCCAAAACACAACGTTATGGTGTGATTGAATATTTACGATGAGACAATGTGACTTCTTGATCTTTTAGATAACAAGAAAAAGTAGATAGTTTACCTGCACAAACGACTCCCACAGCCTCGTCTTGCCTACAGTTGTGTTTTCCCCATCCGTTATGTTGACATTCTCCCAGGTTAGACTCGGTCCCTGTACAGAAGACGTCATCCAGCCAGATCTCCCCACTGCCTTCTCCAAAGGATCTGTACTCAGTACCAGGAACTGCTCCTGTGTAACCTAGCTGTCTGCACGCCACATCAGCATCCTTAATGTCCCAGCTGTCGTCACATACGGCCCCCCATTCTCCTGTCTTCATCTGTACCTCCAGCCGCCCTTCGTTACTCGTCTTTCCGTCAACAAGTCTGGCGTTTATCAGAACTGAAAGTGAAACAAGTTTTAAGTTTGTTACAACGTGTCCCTGACAATCAAGATGTCGCAACTATTCTGAGCTAAGTTGAATGAATGGGATTACAGTTTGTATGGTTTGTATAAATCTGATATAATCATCGGTCTTAAAAAACATGTATCATGATAAAAACTGCACATGTACATCAAAGCTAAAGACTTGGTTCTACGCCAGATTTTTCAGAACTGTTCTGTTAGAAAGAGGTGTTTGTCACCTGGGGCGTTGATGACAGTCTTTTCTTCCCTTGACTCGGTTCGGTAGGATCGTCTCTGAACCTTGACCGGTGGCTAGAATTAGGACGCAAAATCCTGCAGTTTTATTAATTCTTGGATTTTAACGGCTTCTATCACTAGTGTAATAAAAGTGAAATTCTAGAATTTACACAGGACATTATAGCCTTTGACAACACTTGTGGGTGCTTTCAAATATGCATGTAATACAAATACCTGCTTGTGGATAAGATCGTTGTTTAGCTCCACAGCGCGCTCACTCTCTGGCATGTGACTTTCCACACCACCACGGTCTACCGAGAGACGGTACGAATATATCTCCTCCTCTAAATCCCGAACTCTAGCCGACAGGCTCTCATTACTGACCAGCACATGGACGTAAACAACACCGTTCACGACAAGGAAAGCCACCAGAACAACCCACACGAACCGCAGATTTTGCTTGTTTTCATCAGTAAACCCCATGTCTCCGTCGTGTTTGCAACCGTGCATGCTAAGATTGACTGCTAATAAGATAGATTGTGATCTGTTGTCTTGTCACAATCGCTTGTAACGTCTGTTGTCGCGCTGACACCGAGAAGTCATCAGAGGCGCGCGTCTGCAAAATACGCTCGGCTTTTGCCCCAAGCGATGTTTTGACGTGGTTGAAAAGAAACCCCAACAACACTACACCGTACACGCCCCCTACTGGGGGTAAATATTGTTCTTGCCGGGACCCATACAAAGCCCCCTTAAGCACATTTGCTAGTTGAATTTGAAGGTGTACTTTCACTCTCGTGCGCTATGAAATCCCAAAATACTAGCAAATTGCCAAACGTTCATTTCTCTTTTAACAAAAGGAAGCAAGGATTCTGCCTCGCATGATCATTTACTCAAAAATAGCCATCATTATCTCAATACCAATTTACGAATTAGAAATGGAAGTGGATAATGGCGTTGCACATGTTTACGATTTTCTGGGAAAAGTGATATGGTGATACGTCAGCCTCTGTGAATTGCCGAGTTCATCTTTCGTACGTCGAAATTTCATTGTTGTTGACGGTTTTTCTTGGTATTCGACTACAGGTGGCCCATACTGGTGGCCATGGGTCACTTAACAAGCCCTTGAAAACACGGAAATTGGAGACTACATAAATGTATAACGTTTTACCTTGACATTGCACAATCCTAGCGTTACTTGCGCAACGTGTTAATCCTTCTTGATGATTGAATCTCAAAGATGTACCCTTGATCTTTTTATACGTATTACTATTTATATGTGCTACGTATTTCTACGGGTTTTGATCCCAGCAGACCTGCATTAACTAAGGCTGTAGTAAAAGATTACGAAACAAATTTAAACAGTACACAGCATACAGACAATTTATTATATATATTATTACATGGTTCTTCCAAAGGCAAATATTCATATATACACTCACACATTTACCGTTAATAGTACACACAACCAGACATCTATATTTATTTGTACGATCAGACATTTCTGCACCTTTATACAATTGTACAATACAGAACATGGCAGTGAACAACATTCCGAATAGTTCATTTTTAAATACAATTCAAACCAAAGCTTATTAGGAATTCGCAATGGATGACATAGGTACTGGCTCATACCTATGCCTTTTTCCCCATCTCCCATACGCTCCTGTGACTGTAACTACCAACAACACAATAATGGGCACTGATACAAACATTGGAATAAGATTTCTTCCTGTCGCCTGACTCTGTGACATAGGCAATGTGCTGTTATGCTGATGCTGTGACATAGGCAATGTGCTGTTATGCTGATGCTGTGACATAGGCAATGTGCTGTTATGCTGATGCTGTAACATGGGCAATGTGCTGTTATACTGATGCTGTAACATGGGCAATGTGCTGTTATACTGATCCTGTGACATGGGCAATGTGCTGTTATCCCTTACACCATCCGGTGCGATTGTTGCGATTGGGCACAATTTTTCACGTGGCACATCTTCCACATCTAACCCTTTCAACCTTTTAGGTGCATCACATGTAACGAGCCTACTACTGAACATGTGGGAGCCATTTCTGAACATGTCTGCCAACCAGGCCAATCTACAATCACACAGCCATGGGTTGATGGCCAGTGTAGCAAAGAACCGTCTGGCATCTCTTACGGCTGATTCTATGGGAACTTTGAACAAATCGTAAGAGATGGTTTTCAGTAGGTTTTGAGACAGATCAATCGTATCCAGGTGCTTCAGCTTCTTAAAGGCATTAACTGATATCTTATGGATTCTGTTGTGACTCAGGTTGATGCCTTTGACTTGGGTTGTGTCCTTGAAGCTCTTCGATGTGACCTTGGTGATGTTGTTATACTTCAGATCGAGCCAGGTGGTGGTTGACGGGAGGTGTGCGGGAATTCTCGCGAGATTTCGCCCTCCACAGCTTACCACTAGCTCCGAGTACTGGTCAGCGCACGAGCAGGGTGGTGGACACTCTGACTCGTCCGTCTCGACCAGCACAAACACGGACAGCAACAGGTAACAAACCTCCTGTACAAGCACTGCGGTCGTGTGCAGTCTGCTCAAGATGTACATTCTGTGTTGTGTAAAAACAGAGACACAAAATTAAAATATCGCAAACATTGTTTTAATATGACCATGCCGAATCCTTTATTTCAATCATATCAAAACAAGTTGCCAAGAGATGTATAAAATGAAAGAGAATGCACCTAATGATCGACGGGTAAAAATGGCGGTGTTCCAACATTCTGTTAGTACACCTTAGGGGAGCATGGTGTAAGGTACACCAAACATGGTGCGCATTTTAACAGCATGTGACAGAACACAATGTATTACTAATCTACTACTAACCTCATTACGTTAGGTGTTGAACATTGTCTCTGACTGCAGTTATGCACTGTTCAAATCTGTCCTTTGCAAGGGCAATTCGGCTACTGGGAACGCCTACTCGTGAAGACCGACTGGTAGTGCGCCATTTTGTTGTTTTTCTCCTTTACGCCAAGTACGGCGGTGTCAGGTGACATTGGCTTGTTGCCAGACGTTACCTGGTATTAAGTCATGCATACAATAGGAATGCTATTCAGACAGTCCCCCTGGAGCTTGTCAATTATAGTTGTTACCGATCATCTATCACTGTCAAATAGGCTTGGCTGGCAAGGCTGGGAGGAAATACAGCCTCTGTACCTGTTTCACTTTCACAGGGCAATTACGTATGGACACGTGTAGGCTCATGGATGGAGTAAACTGCAGTAGAATATATATAGCTAGTGTACTATATAGCAGGATAAATGAAAATGCTATTTCCGTGGTTTGATTAACAGGCCATAGACAATATGCTAAGCATTATCATGAAAGTTCATCTGTGTTGGTAGTAATCATAGTAAAAAGGTTAAACTTTATTCCAACACAAAGTTTACAGAGAACTTGAAAACAAGCTTTTCCTCAGGGTTATGCATTTCGTTACTTCTTCTCCCCCCTCCGCCGATATCTATTTCATGCGTTATTTCTTAACGTAACTGTTCTATTTAGAGCACACGGAAAAAGAGATCTAGAAGAAGTAGCCAGTGACTGAATGATTTATTTACACAACTCAAAATCAAACAGTACAGTAAACCCATCATAATTCACTTTATAGTCAATGTTGAGCTGTAGTTATGACTCTGAATATTTACAGAAATGTATACGTATACATTTTCCGCTTAACCAACATTACCAGATATTCAAATATATAATTATCAAATGACTATTGCTTTCTATGCATCGGTGCCTTTATAAGCTTTATTACAGAGTCAAAACGTCGAACCAAACCAGCAATAATATAGATTTTATTAACTACCATTTTCGTATGGTGGTATCTATTTCTATATCTAAAAGTATTAACTTCGCCAATATATACATGTACATATAAATCCAAAGTTGGCAGTGAACTAGCTGCAACACAGTTCAGGCTCCGTGGGCAATTTTTCAATGACAATTACAAGCTTTCATTCCGTCTCTATTATATATATCATAGTCTTAGGATCATTTCTATAGTATGTCTATTGTATAGACGTTATGCCTAAAACACAAAAATCAAAACATACTAGTCATGACATCACCTTGCTATGATATGTTGATACAAAACATACGATACGTCTCCATATTAGTTTTATACTAAAATATCCTGTTATTGTAAGCTTGCAATTAGATACTATTAGGTACATGAAGGAAACCTAGTTGATATTTTGCTATTTGAATCTTTGAAGAAAGTCAACTACGAAATCTAATTAATCTTCATAAGGCCGAAAAACGTGGTGTCTGGGCTCAGAGCGATGACACAGCTGTTACACGGCACGTACAGATAGACAATGTCCTTTCTGTGCAGTTTGCGCATGCCCGCTGTGAAGCACGTTTTGTATGGTGGGGTTCCATACATCTCATGCATACATGTCAGGAATTGGTGTGGTCTGCCGCGATGTTCACTTGCCACCATGACATTGTAGCTGGTGTTGGAGGCGAGTACTTCATTTTCGATAAAATGAATCTGAAAATCAATCATAGTCCATATCAATGAGGTTGAAAACTAATAAAAGTGAAAAAAATGAACCTGATAGACTGAGCAATGCAAATGCAATAAATATCAATATCTTAATTTCGATGCATAAAGTAATATATTTCAATGGAACCTAGTACCTGACAGTGTGGATATGCTAGTCATTCATTAAGCTTTTACTATACCTTCATAAAAAACATGGAGACAAGATGCTGAAGAACGTTACATGCTTTGGTCAGATCGTACCTGGCCGTATATGTAGTAGTCCCCTTCTTCCAGTATCTTCAACTTTCCATTGTCAAAGTGGAATTTTTTGGAGTTAATCGTGTCCGTATTCCAGTGGCCTGCCAGCACCCCATGGCCAGCTGTATAATTTGTGCACATGACATTTTTTCCATTAACACATAAACATTTCATCTTTGTTTCATTGAAACCAATAGAGTTTACAAGGTGTAAAATGTTCAACGTAAAACAAAATGTGATGAGCGAAGAAATACTTACCCTTAATCGTAACTGTTTGGTCACTAGAATCTAGTTAAAATAGAAAATGAACAATTAACATCACGTTTCTTGTAAAATGTCCAAGCAGTCACTTATTAATAACAACTACCTGTTTAGAGTTTGAACATCCAATCTTCCACTATCTTTAAGCAGTTTGTTAATGTACAAGACGTAAATTTCCGTGTTTTATCTACAAAAATAGCGTAACTACTGAGACAGAGCGTAACTACATACCTGAACTGGCCGCTATGTGAACCCAGGCTGAGGACGACTTCTGTAATAAACATAGCAAGAAATAGCAAGATATATGTTCATTATTGACATCAGGCAGCAAGTGACTAGAGTTTAGCTGTCTATATAGCTTCGTAGCAGAAAATTTTTAGGAAAAGACGGCCTCTTTCGGCATGAAAGTAACCCGCCAGGACAGAAAAGAATACCTTGTGTGCAGAGTCCATGACGAGATGTCCGTGGGTCGATGACGCATTGGGTGACACTAAAGCACTGGGCTCATTTTCGGCTTTGACTGTTAGAGAGAGAGAAAAAATGTTTAAGTGTTTTTAAACAGCCTTTCTTCTATTTTTATCAAGACGCTTTCACAAAAGCCATTTATGTACGATTTTACAGTCATTGACAAAACTTCCTTATACCAGTGAGGCTTGGTTCACGGTTGCACGTACCGGTTTCACAGTGAACCCCGCCCCAGCCTTGTGAACACCTACAGATGTAGTGATCTCCACCGTTATGACACGTGCCGTGGTTCTGACAGGGGTTAGACTCACACACATTCTCCACTGGAGGGGGATAACACAATGGTCAGAAAGCTTCAAAACATTTCCTAAAAATTCTTCTAGTCATTCGATCTTTCATAAAATGCATCTGTCCATTTAGGAAAAGTTTTTTTGTCATGTTCTTACTGTTTTCACAATGATGTCCTCGCCACCCAGGTGCGCATGCGCACTTGTATCCGTCTGTGGTCACGTGGCATGTTCCGTTGTTCTTACATGGGTCAGAGGCACAGTTGTCTGGGGGTAAAAAAAGGCCAATAATTAATTAAACTAATCATCAATATTTAATGCAGCTTCTTGTGATATGGTACTTAAATTTTGCATGGCAGGCCCTAAGGTATGGTATATCATGATATAGTTTTGTTATATAGCTGAAATCAAGTGCACGTTAATTTGGGGGATTATTGATATATCTTTTCAGTAACGTTAACTCACGTATGTCACAGTCCTGTCCCTCCCACCCCGGAGCACACACACAGCTGTAGGTATTGACTCCGTCCAAACAGGTGGCGTTATTTTTACAGGGGTTCGCTTCACATTCATCTGTGTCTGTGGTGGAAAATATTGATGCCAGAGACGTCGTTAGAAGTGGTAAGTACAGTGCACACTACCAATGCCACATGCAACATTCACTGTGTTTTTATACTACTGAAAATAACAGTCTTTTCATTGACACATTTCACAGTGATTTACAGTAATGCCTTACTGATTTCACAGTTGTGACCTTCCCAGCCGGGCTGACAGTCGCACCTGTAGCCATTCTGAAGGTCTTGGCATTTCACTGCATTCTTACACGGGTTGGACAGGCACTCGTCAACCTCTGGTAAAAGATTACATTGAGAAATCATCAAAACCGTATCTGTATTACATTTACTCAGTTGCAAATCATTTTGGACTAATTATGTTTAGATTGTGAAAACCAGCAGGAAGCTTATGTCAATTAAGTTGAGAACAACCCATCTAAACTTGATGAGAAAATAAACATGAGAGGAACACCCCTCACCAGTCTCACAGTGCAGGCCCTCCCACCCAGGCTCACACACACATGTGTATCCACGCTGTCCATCTACGCACTGTCCTGCGTTCTGACATGGACTGGACACACATTCGTCTGTATCTGTGGCGAAACAAGAAAACTGTCATCTTAATAGAATAGTGGTAATAGTTAAAACTGGGGGAAGAGGGGAGACGAAAGTTGTCCTAAAATGCATTCCTTTACTTTATACAGGAAAAAATTGTAACTTCACTGAATTCAAAGTATACAAACCGTGCAAATTTATGGATTATAAAGCTGCAGTACTCACTGATGTCGCAGTCCTTCCCCTCCCACCCTGCAGCACACTGACAGCTGTACTCGTACTGTCCGCCATGACAGGTGGCGTTGTTCTTACACGGAGAAGACGAACACCTGTTGATCTCTGACAAAACAGAGAGAGAAATACTGTACGTTGTTACATATCGTCAACTTTTATTCACCTGGCCGCTGTATGATCTAAGAATTCTTTTTGTGGTGTGGCCTATTCTGAGATATTGATACGTATTATAGTTTGCACTGGAACGTCTTCTGTAGTTTTGCCGAAGTTAAACTGGTGCACTTTATGGCTCGATAGTCGATACTAATAATGATGGAAATTTGCCGCAGAAAAGTTACAGCACTACAAACTATAACACAAACGCAGTGTCATCTGTTAGCAAACAAAACTGAGACTTACCGGTCTCGCAGTCCCTGCCGTCCCAGCCCGGCTGACAGTCACACGTGTAGCGGTCCAGCCCGTCACGGCAGGTCCCACCGTTCTGACACGGGTTAGACGCGCACTCGTCTGCAACTAGAGGATACAAACAGCCATTCTTATAACCTACATGTCTGCATAGATCTTACAATGGCAGGCCATTCAACTTGATCATGAGCATAATAATTGATTTCTAGCCATTCTATACTTTACTGTCGTGGGTGCAGAGTACACTCTACGGAATTAGATTGTGCATAATCGCTTGGTGCAGTCAAATTCATCGTTGAGAGTTCGTAAAACTTCGTCGTACCTGTACATCTCACTCCGGCCGTGAACTTGCCTCTACACGACGTGGTGTCAAAGTCATGATAGCACTCCTGGAGGGATTGTTCAGTTCCCGTACAATCCACATCACTCAGGGAAAATTCTGGACTAAAGTAGTCCCCAAAATTAGCTGCAGCCTTCCTATAGGACCTGTAGTAGATAATAGTAACATTCACCACATCTGTGCAACTATATGTACACTGTGACATGTCATGTACAATCTCTGTGCGTCCTACGACACACATATATCAAAAGACTAGAAAGTAAACCTAATTCTGTAAAGGTAGCATATCAGATAAATATAAAGAAGGACGACAAACTAAACATGAATATGTTTTATCCTGCAGCAGTAGTAGTGATAGTTTCCTTAGTAATGTAGTATTGTTGATTTTTTTTGCACATATTTGCACATAAAATGAATCATTTTGTTGTAAATGGTAAAGAGAATATGCAAGAATGGAAACCAGAAACCTCAAAGGTTAATGGAGGGTTTTTAAGGTCATGACAAATACTGATCATAGTAGCTCCATCCTGCGATATTTTGCTGAGAAAATGCAGACATATACCTGGTTGCACCGCCGTACCCGAGGTATCTGCACACCACGTTAGCCTCAGTCATGCCCCAGTTCCGGTCACAGATCCTGCCCCACTCCCCGCCAATTTTCACCTCCACTACACCTTTAGCCATGACGTGGTGTCGCTTGTGCCTTCTGCCGTGTGCACTTTTAGGGTGGAAGATACGCACTACGGCGTATATATAAAATCAGCAACTTAAAAAAAACAGAAGACGAAATTCTGGGACAAAATTTGATGTCTGTCGAAATTGTAAATATTCAAATATTAGTTTGCAGTGATGCAAAATTCAAAGTCAGTAAAAACAGACCTAAACGTATTTTTTGCACAGGAAAAACTGCCCATATTCATGGGCACACATGATAGCATGGAAAAGCTTGTTCATGTGCATACATGTACATAATGCGATATAAAAAGTCCATAACATTTACCTTCCCATTTCCCTGCAGAAGACACATCTTCTGATCGTTTTAACCTCGCCATGTTAAGGTGGAGAGAGGGTGACGGTTGGAGGGCGACCGTCTGTTGCTAGAATTACGACACAAAACATTCTTATTTGGAAATAACTTGTTGGCATTACTGTGTAAACTTTGTCTACAGAAAGATATTAGACCACACAAGAAGTTGATACTTGCATCATGACCCTTGAATTATGGCTAGGAGAAAATTCACGTAAACAAGTCGTTCCGTTATGGGGTTGTAAGGTCCTTGACACATTCATTTGACAAGTCGTCGTTCACTGCTTTCATTTTCAATAGCACCAGTTTGAAATTTGATATTCACAACAACATGGCACCCTCTTACAGAAGTATTACACTCTGACATACCTGTTCACTGTTAAGTCGTTGTCCCCAACTCTGTTCAAACTTCTCGACGCCACCGTGGTCTTGTCTTGCAGTCTCGCTTACTAACTGTCCACTGGCAGGTTGGACACACTGCGAAGCCAGCTGGCCCTCAACATACGCCAGGCGTCTGGCTAGGTGCATGTACCCCACTCCATTCAACGCGATAAACGCGAAGAACGACAACAACAACAACACAGAAAAGGTGCTGTCGTGTTTTCTGTGGTTTGCCTTTGTCTCAGCTCCCTCGTGGAATTGCGCATCTTGTTTTGCAGATTTATCGTTTTCCAGATCCATGTTCACGGTAAAGTTAGTGTAACATTCTCTGTGTCCGAACGCAGCTGTCTGTCCATGCCTTGTGCGCGACGGTGCCCAGCAAGCCTCGGCGACTTTACCTCACAACGTGGGCGTGCGTCCAAAACAGTCGCCTGAATATGCACGATAGACGTTTTAAGTCCAGTTGAAGAAACCAGAATTTGCCGCCTTAAACACGATGTATACGCTTGCAAGTCTTGGTATAGGCCTCTGGAACACCGATCACCAAGGATACGAAGACTGGGTGCAAGATTTCCGAGAAAAAGTTTTACCTGGTGCCCCTGCCAGGGCTTGACTTATTGTGCAACACCTTTGGGGGCGTGGCAAAGGCGTAGGTAAACAGACAGCGTATCTTTTTTGCCTTCCCACCCTCCACTGCGCTGGTGGTTCACAGAGACCCTTTCAGCCGTAGCCAATATGCAAAAGCCACTGTCACTAAACGCTAGTTGGGGGTCACAACTACCCTGTGACAAGTACGACTCGTATAACCAATAGGCGATGAGCTTTCTTCAACTGTGGTGACAAATGACACTAGAAAGACAACATTGAGTCTGGCACGTCGCCAAGGGTCATTGGTTATTCGCCAGCCTGTGTACCATTTTGTGAAGGAACACCAACCTGTTGAGGTGAGATACCTTGCTACAGTTTGTAGTCATTCGTATTTACGTCTTTTGTACTTTTCCTTGACTTTTGATCCAGCTTGGAGACCTGTTAATCAGTTAATGTATAAAATTGCCGACAAATGCTACTGAACAGTTCATAGGAATGTTCCGAACAAGTGAGCCGAAAAAAAGAGGAAGTTACTGCAGTTCGGCGCCATCTTGACTTTTTATGACAAGCGTTAAATACGACTTCATTCCACTTTTTACAGCTTGGGATTCTTACAAAACTTTTAAACCTGTTTTCTACAGGAATCCTGTCAGCTCACTTGAACCACGGTAACCAAGGTAAAATGCCCAGGTGGTCTAAGTACTGGCTTGTCGTGTTCGTGGCTTCGTTTGTGTCGTCGCGTGTGTCTACCTGTCCTGTGGGCTGCACTTGTACTGAATATCTGGTAGACTTGAATGTCGCCTGCAGCGGGAATGGCTCAACATCCCTTCGCAATAAACTGCCGCCGGATACAACCTTCCTCACACTGACGGGATACAGACTACCTGTTCTGAATCTGAATGTGTTAGGTGGCCTCAAGAAGCTGAGAGGACTTAAACTTCCGTCTAACGAAATCACCCAGATAGAAGGAACACTAGAGGTGTTTCCACGTCTATACGAACTCGATCTGAGCAGGAACAAGTTTACGAGCGTCTCTCCGCGAACGTTCGGTAACGCCACGACACGTCTCGGGTACGTGGACCTAAGTGAGAACCCTTTCGACTGCGACTCTGAGTGTGGCGGGATTCAGTTGAACAGTCTGTGTGACTGTTCTGTCAACACGTTTAACTGTACCTGTAACATCCTGTGGCTGAAACAACAAGTGAAACACTGGGGTCCCAGTGTCTGGATGGGAGTTCGCTGTCAAGTCCCGAAAGATAAGGATATACGAACTGTAGATATTCGAGACTATTGGTGCAAAAGGAAATTGTGTTGGATATCAGGCATTCCTATAATCAGCTTAGCCGTAATCTTGATAATTGCAGCCATCGTATACATATGTAAGAAAAGGAACAGGTACACCCTTCTGGGCACAGACCCAGTTACGAAACAGTTAATCAAATTGTCTGGGAAGCTTGGAATGGAATGGGAGAGTTTGGCAACTCACCTAGGTTTCACAAGGGCTGAAGTAGATGAGTTTATCAGAAATAACGACAGAAACATGAGGGGACAAATACGTGCCATGCTCCTCTCTTGGAGGAACAAAAATGGCGAACAGGCTACTCTTGCTACATTAGTGGAACTACTGAAGAGTTATGAGCCTCCCCTTGATACAGAAATATATCAATTTCTAGAAGTATCATCTCCAATCAACTAAGTCAGATCATCCGATCATCCAAGTTTTAAGTTTGTTTTTCCTTTTTATTTGTATTCACAAAATGTTGTAATTTCTGTAGTAAAAGATCAGTTACTTTATACATATCCGGTGTGTGTTGCAGTGTAGAAGTTCCAAGCTTATTTCAGAGACTTTCCTCGTTGTTGTGCTTTGTACATGCAGTGGTATTTGTAATGACATACAATGGTTTAAAGACTATCAGTGTACATGTGGTGTTTTACATTTACATAAAGATTAGAACATATACTTTCTATTGAAATCAGGATACATTTACAATCCTTACTATATATGTACAACATGGGCAGGTGTCATCCATAGACTTGACAATAAAGTACACAAACTATAACTTGAAATTGACACAATAAATATAAAATCTATAACATTTTCGCCGTATTGGCCCTTATCTGAATAAGGCATTAATCTATATACAAGACAACTCTATTTTATTGATACTAAAGTCATACAGTCTAAGTTTGCTATCTTTAAGAAGGCACACTCTATGGTTTCTGCTGTAGTGTCTACAATGTAACTATCTATAGTGTATTCTAACAGATGTGCAACATTGTGTGATTCTATACAATACCTGTTGTGAATCGATCTTGACTTTTGTTTTTTTTGTGTGTCCATCTTGAAAGTTAAACATAAAAAAAAGTTATGATTACTAGTACTTAAAATTGAATATTTCTTTTAAACCAGTGTTTCTAAGTCTTCCATGACAGGCTGTCGGCGATGTGAACATTTCTGTTTGTAAAACTCGTGTATTTTTACACCCACTACAATAATGACAATCACCGCTCCAGCAGTGCCCAGGGCTATGTTAAACGACATTTTATCTGTCCTGTACTTATCCGGTTCCCTCAGCAGTGGTTTACTAGTAGGAGTAGGCGTTACAGTATTGAATACTTCCATGAAATTTACGTTTAAGTCTGCTCCAAGTTTTGGTGCACAAACTAGACGATCTAGCGGTACATTTTCTAACTCTTTTCCACTCAAATATTCGGGCTTGTTGCATGTTATCAGTCTATTACTGTAGTGGTGAGACCCAGTTTTGAGTTTCTCTGCCAGCCATTTTAACCCACAGTCACAGTTCCACGGATTATCAGACATATAGACGAAGAAGTTTCTCTGTTCCTGTCTCGCTGATGTGATAGAAGCGTTAAAGACTTCCTCTGACAGTGTGGATAGCTGGTTAACGGAAATGTCCACGGTTTGTAGACGCTGTAGATCTCTGAATGCGGAAGTTGAGATGTGGTTGATGTTGTTCTTGGCTAAGTCCACGCCACGTAGGTTCTGTAACCCTCTGAAACTGTTGCTGGTTATCCTTGTGATGTTGTTGTACTTGAGGTTCAGCCACATGACGTCTGTGGGGATGTTGGGCGGGATTTCTGTGAGTCCCTGGCCGGCACAGGACACGGTCAGCTCCCCGTACATGTCCGTGCAGGTGCAGGGGGAGGGGCAGGTGGGGTCAGCGGCGGAGACCGCGATAAACGCCGTCAGAAGTACCGGGAAGACTTCCGCTAAACTCCGAACCACAGCCATGGCTTCACTCTAGGGCCACTTCAAATAGAGAACTGTAGAAAGAAACACACAGTATTAGTACCAGTTCCACACTTTTAGCTTAAAAAAACATGCCTGTTTGAAGTTTTCTTTGATTGTGAAATCACAGTGTAGGATAGCATACAGCGTTAGGACGCTTCTCCATTCCTTCCCAATTGTACCAAAAATGTTTCTGGGATTATCTAAATACCAAATTAACTATATTAAGGACGGGGCTGCTACGTTAAAAACCTTTAACTTACAGATGGGCGTATGCAAAGTTGGCATAAACAAACGGTAGCGCGCTATTCAGAAACATGTGAATTGGTTAGGGTAGGATCAGGCCCGGATCTGGATAGTCTTCGCGTATCCAAGAACGTAGATTTGCCAAAGGCAGGTTTTTGGATATGCGTGGACTATCCAGAACCGTGCTTGAGGAAGGTGCTGGATAAAGCGCTGTTCTAGATACAACACGGGCCTACCAGTTACTACTAACCTTGAGTCCCCACAGAAGGACGTCGACTGAAATGTCGACACGACGGTTGGTGTTCGATCGAGCTAGATTCCAACGAAATTTGTCTATTCGAATGTTCGGTACGTTCGTCTTACAAATAGACTCGCTGGGATATTTGAGCGAAACACTTCCTTGTCCATTGTTTTTGACAAATCAAGTTCATCGTTAGAACCGTTACACCTACCGGGAACAGACAGGGGGATCCCCCTCCCCATACACACACTACAGGAAGTGAAAGACTATCGTTTCAACAAACATTGAGAACTCCAACCCAAAAGTGTTCTGCTTTCTAAAATGAAGATACACAAACCTGTTTTGCCTTTGCCAAGGTCACCGAAGTAAGAACACCCCAAAGAGGGCCCCCGAAGGCATCCATAGAACTGTAAGTTCCCCTGAACAGAGCCATATAACCCACCAAATATGCTATTTTCCAACGACTTCCCTTCTGTGAAGAGAATCTGCTTCCTCTTCTTTTTCAGACTGCGTGACATCAATCCGTTACCTTGGCGATACTCAGGTCAATTAGCTTCCTATACACACAGGTGAATAGCCTGTGCACGCCCCCCTGACCTGTGTTGTTTGATGTCCTACAACCCTGCACACCGTAAGTACAGGTGAGGTGTGTAACAGGATAGCTGTGTTAACACGCGTGAGACGGGACGTGAAAAGACGTTAAAGACGTCACAAATTAGTCCGTAGTAAATCCACATGTACTGTTGACACAACATAAAGACCATGGAGGGTTTGAAAAAACAACAAGGCCCTACGTAATGTCCTTTTCAATGTCACAGCTAAGAGCGTTTTAAGGAAAAGCTATGCTCTGTAAGCACACAAAAGTGCATATTTCTGGCCTATCGAAGCGTTAGTATATTAGATTTGTAGCGCTTATCCTGTTCTGTCTTGCAGCCCGCATGAGACAATAACATTCTTCCTACCATCACTGATACTCCTTTGTCCTATCGTTAACGTTAACGTTACATGAATAGTTTTTTTCTCAGCACGAGTCTTCAACAGGACAAGTAGTGTATGCTTTCTCGACTTTGCTAACTAACATATGCTTGTCATTGATGCGAATAGATAGAGAATAAGTGCAGCAGAAATAATACCTTTCTTACCTGTGAAAGCTATCCTGCTTTCCGCGAAATTGTGTGCTCGCTATGTAAAACTGTCGTTAGTAATAAAATGATTTGGTAACATGGCATGGTAACCTCTGGCACATGCACGCAATCATATCAATAATTCATATCAATAAATGTGATGTCATACTCAAGGTGACTGCAGTGGATAAAAATATCTATCTGGTTGTGTTATTATGTGTTTTATATTGATTTCGGGATTAATTGAAATAGTCACAGAAACACTAGTACTAAAATGGTTTTGTCAATATTTTCTAAAGCGCAACAACTTTCTGATTAGATGGTAAAGTGCTTCCCCACAACATAACATCTGTATTACCGCGCGTATATGTGTGTTGAGTCTTTATCACTATAAGTGATAATAAGTGTCTCAAATAATTCTTATTCCAACTTTTGCTCCTTGCACGCCTTCATGTTTACGTTGTTTATTGTTTATTGACAATGACTACTAGTATTTGTGAACAGCGCAGACTAGCGGATAGCACGAGACTTGCATGCGAACTACTGGATGGCGTTATAATGTAATGTTATCCACACGCGCGCGCAAATACACACATACTCATGCAGGTCAATATAGTACCTGTCCTTGGTGCTGAACGCCATCCACACACAAACACACACATGGATAACTCATACACATAACAACACACGCAAATATAGTACCTGTCCTTGGTGCTGAACGCCATCCACACACCTACTCATGCGTGCGTACTCATACACATAGCAAAACACGCAAATATAGTACCTGTCCTTGGTGCTGAACGCCATCCACACACAAACACACACATGGGCGCACTCATACACTCTTTGCAATAGAGTGAAATGCTAAATGATGGGAATGTAAGAGGTACATCCAGGACTTATTTGGATTCTTTATTGGTGACGTTGATCTTGCATCGTATAACTGTCAATTCCTGCATGGCGTCGAACGCAAATTGCATGAAGTAATTTGCGTTTCTCCCCTCCCTATATGACCCCCCAGTCCCTGATGTCCTCCACACACTGTACCAGCTGGGGGTACTGGTGCAGGGGGCGCGCCCACGATCCCATCAGCCACCGCGCCACAGGACAGATGAAGTCGGCCCGTAAGTCCGCCCTCAGGTCTTCTAACGTGTACGAGCTCAGTCTGGTCTCTTCTGTCGTGAAGAAAAGAATAAAGAGTGGTATTCAGTTAGGAGAAGTACCAAAGTCTTCCATAGCATTTAGTTCTTTATACATGTAGTCTTGCTTGGGCTACTAGTATTTGGCAGTCTAAGCTCTAGCTCTTTCCTTTCTAAAGTCATCAGATAGAGTGCTTGCGCAAATAATTATGAATCTCTAGTTTTAAAAAAATTAAAATACGTTACAGGGTGTACTTTACACTGTTCAAACTTCACTTCATCTAGGTTTTGAGCGTCTTTTATTTTTCATATTAAAGTACGTGTAGTTCTACTGGAAGGTGATACATACAGTACACATACTGCACCAGTTAAATGCCATCTATATGCCTAGAAAATATATGACATCTATGACATACGTATCTCACCATTGTTTCCTAGAGTATGCTGTAGTTGTTGATGATAGTGGTACAGGATGTTATCTGTGTGGTTCAGACGGAGTTCCCGTGTGGTTGTGTACACCAGCAGACAGGCCAGGTCATAGCTCGGCCGTCTGTAGCAGGCGTGCTGCCAGTCTAGTAACATCGCGGAGACGGGAAGACCCTGGGCGTACTTTTGGGAGGTGTGTTGGGTGCAGGTGGTGCAGAAGAAAAAGAAAACTTTCGTAAGTTATAGATCTGTAGATACAGCTATGTGGTTTATATGTTACCATTCACTGGTTTTTAACTTTCTGTCACTCGGATGATATAAATTCTATCATATACACATTTTCTGTTCAAACTTTCAGTGTTTTGTTCGAAAGAAGTTGTATCGAAGAATTGAGAATCGAAGCCGCTTCTTGTAAATGCCTTACAGATGAGATACCAGATTGACTCGGTATAACTGTTGTTGGCCTATATAAGTTCTAAACATCCCAAAGTCTAGTGAGTTCATTGATGTAAAACAGTATTTTGTGACTTTCCTACGTACCTTGAACATGATGTTGTCGTTCCAGCAGTCCCCGTGACACAAGACCCTCGGTGTCCCCGCCGTGCTGTCCCGCCCCGAGAACAGTACCTCCGCCGTCTGCCTCCCCAGCCGCGCCGCCAGGTCTGGATGCTCGGGGAACGCCGAGGCGAACTCCCGAACTCCATCCTCGTACCGCTGATGGTGTCGTGAAGTCGCCCTTTCCTTAGCTGTGTCTCTCAGCCAGTGATATTTCTCAGAAAGGGGAATTCCTGTCCTGTGCTCCAAAAGATGGGATAGTCCATGGATTTGTGCTAACGCGCGCACTGCTACTATTGTCTCATCTAGACTTAAGGGTTCTGGGAAAGGTTTGACGGCAAATCCGCGAGACTCTAAGTTCATAAGGACCCTAACAGACATCATTGAACTGTAGTCACTGGCTGCAAAGTGGCAAGTTGGTACTGGCAGCGAAATATCAGGAAAGGAGTCCTTACAGCCTTGGCCGCCTGTGTCAATGCTTGGCATACCCTCTAAGTTCTGTACACGAAGAACAGAATACAAGTCAGGGACTGCAGTGGAATAAAACGAGACTTCTCTCTCCTCCAAAGTCACAACCTTCTTTGGAACGTCTTCCTGAACTCTGGTGAGTTTGACAACCAAGTCGTAATGCTCAGTTTTAGAATCCTCCGTCCCCCTAGCGACTACCGCCAGTAGTGAGCTGATAGAACCCTGTGCCTGGCGCATGGGTCCCTTGATGACGACATCAGTGACGTGTACCCTGGAGGTGGGCGTGGTCAGGACCTGTTGTAACCAGGGGAGACTGACGTCATCCACGGACCTCGGTACTCTGGTGCTGAATGTCGTCATCATTCCGTTACCTTTTGAAAAAAAGACGAATTAATCATGACATTATTTGCATGTGCCTGTGTGCGAATTTGGGAATTCAAAAATTGATGATCTCACTGTCTCTCAATTTCCACTTGTTTTATATTTTCTGTTATGCACGCTTCAAAAGGTAATGATGTCATTTTTATGGATGTAGATTTCAAAAGTTTTCTCTCAACTAATGTGCTTTCCAATGATTTCTGACAAACGTAATTATCTATTATTAATGATAGTCATTGATACTGCCTTGTCCTAAAGGTTATGGACTACCCTGTTGATTCTTAGATGCTCTATTTCAGTCATGTAGGCGAAACATTATTAGAACAGCTCTACCGTTTGATGTGGATGCAGGTATTTTGGTGTACGCTAGACGGCGCCTATTACCTGACTACGGACCACTATGTGACTGCACCTGCTGTACTTACTCATGATCAATGGAAGTAGACATGCTAAGCTATAGGTAGATGATACAAGTGTAAAACAACAATAAACATCAATGAAGTAGATAAATCAGACTGTTTGATCAACCCGATATGTTGTCAGATCGTACTCCTGTGGGACTCCAGCCTTTAGCTATGTTCTCCACATGTATATGTGAGTCGTCTTCTGCTGGCCCGTTCACAGGGGAACAGACCCAGATACATCACATTTCAACCTCAGGGTAACCTGTCAGACTTACTGATGATCAGCTGCAGTTCTTTTTCTAATACCTTTATTGCAGTTCCTCGCTTCTTTGTATGTTTGTCATGAATGAAATACTAATGTTCGGACAAAGTTACAGTTCATAATGATTTCTGTTTCATTTAAACATGGACATTTGACGCATCCCTTGATTACTGGCTTGATAAATAGTCCCACGTTTTTGATAATGATGATTTTAGTAGAATTTTTCCAGGTTTTCTAGATGGTGAAAGCTCAGAGATATTGAATAATCAATGTCAGCTCTATGTTAGTGCATGTATGTAGTGGTGTGAGTCCTGTGGGAAATGATGTTATAGATGAAGTGATGCGGATCGTGTAGCTCAACCCGGGCACTCACATCTCCATAACGGAACCATCTCTTATTCAAATATCGGAGATGGGACGTGACATGTCAGCTATCCTGGCAGTGTAGAGATGTGTATCACACATAGTGCTCATCTGAAAAATGCAATACTGGCCTTTCAAATACCCCCTGATATTGCCGATGGATAAAATACTCTAGAATTCAATCCAATCCAGTCGATTAACGACCTCAATCGAAAGGTTGCGACAAATTGATATCAATAGCAATCGGATTTATAAGAAGAGCAATTGTCCATTTGGGACGGATATTTGCAATTCATGAAAAACTGCCCAAACCTAATGAAGAGGCATGGCGTACTGGGGTAAGTACCTCAGGGACAGGAGCTGGACTGACCTGTGGCGGATGGGTGAATTTTAATCATGGCTTGGGGCTGGGTTTGTTTGTAAAAGCAGGACATAAAATTCTGGAATTGGACTGCTGGACCATTCACGATGCCCTTAACAAGACCTACATGTACCACCTAATACTGACTAAGTGTAGATAGCCAGACAATGAGGATATGCTACTCTTGAATCATCTTCATACTTAAACTTTTATCTACTTCTGTTGTTGTTCGTAGCTTCTATTTTATCATTTAGCTATGTTCTCAGGGTATGAACACTTATCAATGTATCAGATTCTATTCCTGTACATCTTGGCCTTCCTATCTTCCTTCTCTCTCTCTCTCTCTCTCTCTCTCATTCTCTCTCTCACTCTCTCTCTCTCTCACACACACACACTCTCTCTCTCTCTTTCTCACACACACACACACACACACACACACACACACACACACACACACACTCTCTCTCTCTCTCTCTCTCTCTCTCTCTGACTCTCTCACACACCCTCTCTCTCTCTCACACACCTCTCTCTCTCTCTCTCTCTCTCTCTCTCTCTCTCTCACGCACACACACACACTCTCTCTCTCTCACTCTTAGCTTTAGTAGTAATACTCAAGCCTAAATTGTGGAACAGCAGACACCAATGCTGACAGCACTGTTTAGATCTGAGACCAAAATCATATTTTCGATCGCTTCTCAGATCTCATTTCCGTTTTCATTTCACAGCTTATTGGATGGCTGGTGTAGATGATGTGAAATAACCGAATGATGAGTACTATGTGTGGACTGGGTCATGGTCAGACGCCATTGAACATTATGGAATATTATCAAATAAGTGAACCGACAATCTACAATCTGCGTTGGCTCTGTATCGTAAGGTCAATTCTATACGAAAGAGGGTACAGAGTTAGAGGGTAAGATATAAAGCCCTGTACTATAGTTTTATTTTCATTTGATATGATCATAAGAGTTGATGTGGAAATGGTATCGGTGTATTTTGTAAGCTCCTGGGTGGAATTTTACCCCCCACCCCACGCCACAATGATATAATTACTGCCCGTCCCTACCAACATGGCCGCGTCCAATCTTCTGTTTGAGAGGTATGTTCTTAACTTTTCACGATTCTATACAAACCAGATGGCACTACGTATATGCCTTTTAAGCAATAAGGCATGTATGAGTTGTCTTCATTCTTGCCTTTTATTCAACTAGTCTACTTATCCTTATAGTTTCAGACCAGCAACATCGACACGGTGGGCTGAGGGTGGGGGTGGTTGGGCAGAACATTACTTTTTAAAACCGAAAATTTCCTGGTGCCTCATGCTCTGATGCTGCACTAATTCTATAATTTTATTCAGCAGAAACATTTGGGGGGGGCAACGGGTGATATTTTGCGACATCAAGAAACGGGAATTATTTTTTTATCCCACCATTTTCATTTTTTCAGTCCTGTTAAAACATGTGCTGATACAGGTGGTTGTTAATGTAATTAGTGGAAATTCCAATACCAGAGCATACCGCTAAAATTATACTCACCAAAACGATGTTGTTACTGATGCTTTCCAAGGTAAAACAAAAATATCAAAAAGAGCAATGGATATATTTTCTTGGTACCATAATCGTTTCTATTGTTATCGGTAACAAAAGAAATACCCATAATACGTTTAATATTTAATGTGGTCATAAGCACTTAGTGATCATTATAATTGCTGCTCTCATTTTACCACACGAAAACCTACTCTAACTACACTATACCACCCGTTGGTTTTTGTTGCTGTATGAGTTCAACACAAGGAGTGAAACTAATATGATGGGACAATCTCTGTGAAAATAGATTAATTTTTAGGAAGACATTTTTTCTATATTTGCCTCTACAATGTCTAATACACGGTTCAAAGTGCACGTTATGATGAAAAGCAGATCCACCAAACCCAGACAATTATCAGCCAGTGTCTGTAAGATGACCGTTCTGAACCACAGGAAGTATCAAGTTCAACCATGATTGATTCCAGAGCTCTCTGTTGTGCACATGTCTTTCAATACGCTGATGATTCTTGACTGAAAGTGCAGATAATATGACATTACGCTTGGCAATGTGGCGTTGAGATGCGCAAAATAATGCACCCAACAGACGTGAAAAAATGTTAATATATTTGTAACGCAATTTCCAATTTTGACGTCCTGTCATTACGCCTGTCAATCGTTCCCAGCCGCCCACGTACTATTTACCTACTCTGTTCGGACAAACAAACACACATGTACAGCTCACCACCAAAAACAATACTTCCGTACGCGAAGGTAAAGAAACTATACAAAGTTCAGACAACATGCTGTATTACAGACACGGGTCCCAGACAACCCTCCCCAGTGTCGCCATGTTGACCAGCGCGAACCACACGCACACACAAGTTCACCTCCCATCGATTCATCCAGCCGTGATTAGATTGTGTTTATGCTGTGGCCTTACATAATTCAACAGGTCACTACCCACAGTATCTATCTTTGTGCATATGATTTGATCATCATAACTGTGTCATAAGGAGCGAGGCTGAACCAATAGGAAAACTTTGAGGTGGCTTCAGGGCATTCAGGGTCGTGAAGATAGAAAATCTGATAGTTGTGACTTCAGCAATAATACAATAACTTTGCTGGGATCATTTCTGTAATGATATAATATTGACAATCGTGAAGAGATTATCCATGACAGGACCGGGATGGAAATGTGCTTTGGATAGATTTGTGCTGGAATAACAGAACTTTGTGGTAGTGTAAATACTAGTAGTGCGATCTGAATCACGATTTTACTTTGTGTGTAGTTCCAGTTGTGTACATGAAAGAAAGATTGTCAACATTCAGCCATATTTACATCATAACTGGTATGCATACATCTGATTTTACCAACTTCAGATAAAAGTACACACAGGTCTGTATTTGAATGATCTATTATATATAAATACGCGCAGTGTCATACTATCCACGTAATCCTGGGTGTTTGTGTTTCGCGTTTTAGTCTTCTCAGGAGTTTGCTCGTTCAATAGAATCTTCAAACGAAGAAGACCAGTTTTGGCCTTCACTACATGAAGTTTAACATTAGCTCAAATACAATATGTTGACATATAAGGTTTCCATATTTACACAAATGAAAGTTATCAGAAAAATAAACGTCGTGTGGTGGGTTTCAGGAAACATGGTAAACCTAATGTCGAATGGGAACAGGTTTCGTCCGGCCAAATCTAGACAGAGAATTGTCTGATCTCTGGATCAAAATGTTCCCCATATTTCAGCACAAAATCAATGACAGTGCATTGATCAATATCATGTTTTGGCCTCTGGATCATTTTGACTCATTTCTTATCTGTCATTTACGTACGATGTTATATACGTGTCAATATTGTGTTGGGCAATGACTACTGAATTTGTTCTCTCAAGATTTGACACCAGGTTGTTGAGGGTACGAGGGTGGATCAAAAAGTTCTCGGCCTCACCTAGAAAATAAAGGGCAAACTCCTATTCTTTAGTATAACTGTATACTATGATGTCTTACATCACTGCACACAAAAATTCAAATTTCTATATTCATTAGTTAGCACGTGACGCCCCGTGAAAATGGGGCGGGTGAGGGCAAAATCACAAAATGGCCGCAACAGAAGCGTGTGCTGTGATCATGTATATCGATAAAAAGGGATTTCTCGTAAGGAAATCCATGAACACATGGTCAGGACACTTAGTGATGACTCTCCTTCTTATTCAACTATAAAGAAGTGGGTTGCTAGCTACAAGCGCTGCAAGGTGAACACCAAAGATGAACATATGTCAGGATGCCACAAATCAGCACCATGGACAATCCAGTTGAGGCCATCCATCACATGGTAGTAAATGACAGATGTGAGACTGTCCAACATGTAGCAGAGTCTTTAGCCTGTGTTGTGGCTCTGTTCACAATGTTTTGTCAGACATCCTGGGGATGAGCAACCTGTCTGTAAGGTGGGTGCCTAGAATGTTTTCTGAACATCAGAAGTTAAACAAGCTGGACATTTCAAGGAACGAATTCAGTCCAATCCATGCAATTACCTCAAAACATTTTTCACCCAAGATGAGACATGGTTTCACCACTTTCACCCCAAATCAAAACAACAGAACAAACAATGAATGAAGAATGTTTCCCGGACCCCAAGAAGTTTTATCGAGTTTCATCCGTTGACAGGGGTTTTGTCTCTGTTTTCTGGGACAGCAAGGGAGTAATCATGACTGAATACCTGTGAATAGGTTAAAACATCAATGGGGAGTACTATTTAACAGAATAGCAACAGTTGAGGACAACGATCAAAGAGATAAGGAGAGGAAAGCACCGAGCTGGCGTGATGACAATGCACCTGTCCACACAGCACAGGGGTCAGTGACAGCAGCAAACGAATTTGGCTTTGAAGTCTAACCCCACCCTTCCAACTCACCTGACCTAACACCGTCGGACTTCTACCTATTTCCTAAACTGAAGTTCCACTTACGTGGTCAACGTTTTTATGGTAATGATGACGTCATCAGTGCGGGTGAGCCCTATCTGGGGGCTCCAGATTCAACCTTCTTCCACAAGGGGAAAACAAACCCGGAACATCACTGGACCAAGTGCATTGCAGTTAGAGGGGACTATGTTGAAACATAGTGTAAGAAATTTTTTTCTGCCACGACGTTTTCTAGGTGAGGCCGAGAACTTTTTGATCCACCCTCGTATGTGGCACTATGTGCCTTTTGAACATGTCAACATTACGGGTCCGGTTTTTATCAAACCTTTAAAGCTTTGTTTTCTACAGTAGGACGGCTGATACGACAGTCTGTCTCTCCTATGTGATAATGCCCTTGGTGGCCTACGGGTAAAACCTCCACATCCCCCAGAGAACCCTCTCACGACAAGAGAGGAAATAATCAGGATGATCATCACATCATGTATTCTATTCAGAAATGAGTCTCACTAATGAAACCATCATTTTCCAGAGCTGATAGTCATTCGCCTGAACAAATTACGTGACTGGTCAACGAGATCAGTCTTCCATACTTTGCCAGAATTGTCCCTCTAGTGTAGTATTTAATCAGTGTTCGGTCAGTTTGGGGACAGAATTCTTACAAGACTTCAATTATCAGAGCTTAATCCAAGCTACGAGAGACATCATGTCATTTGCCATAATGGTGAGATTTAAGACTGGTGCTATGATCGACAAGATGAAGATCAGGATTAATACTGATTTTCAAAACTATAATTTATGTCAAGGATGTATTTGCCCTAGAAAATACCCTAGGTATGGTAACACATGAGCGCCAAGTAAGTATCTGGACGCTTCCTTGTTGTTATTTTTTGTCGTCTTTGTTGTGGAACAAAGATGGCGGCTTTGTAAGGTGCAAAGAAGGTTCAAGGATCTTTACTGTATTGGTTGTATGAAATTAATGTTTCTTAAGTGTAGACAAGTTGTTAAAATATTCTTATTTGAAGATAAGTACTTCATATTTTTGCCCCCCAAAATCCAACATGGCGGAAGGTCATTGACAGTGGTCTACGTCAAAGTCGCTACACTATCACGTATTGAACGTATCATGATCATGAACGTATCTTGATCATTAAAATGGCTTTTTTTAGGCAGAGTGCTAGTGTACCACTTTCAGTCTCTGAACACTTCTTAATATTTATACAACTCTGCATGAAAGAAGGCATTACAGAGCAAAATATTTCTGGGCTTTAGTCAAAACAAATCGATCCAACTCTTGATAACGCTGACATACAGAAATATGGTTCTGAGGCCGCTGCCGAGGAAAATGAGCGCACTGAACAAATTTATGTCAAAATATTGGGTCACGCAAAAGGTAGAAACAAAACATATTCATTAGAGACATCATAAAAGAAAGAATTTTGTAGACATTTATTTGAGAATATTGACGAAGAAATTAAAGATGCGTCTGTGTGATGTCAGCGTCCCAAGTGCCCTTCCCTCCCTGGACGCCCCGACTTACACGGCAAATCATGCTGATAGATCTGGTACAGAAATACGTGTCAAACCGACAACCGTGCCTTCAGCATAGATTAACATTCACAAAATTCCTCAGGCACAGAAACGCATCTTCTGAATATCTATCCTTAAAAAACTGTGTATGAAACAAGTTCCTTTTTTCTCCTTTTTTTCTCACAATGTTGCCTAGTTGAAAATGCTGTATCCGTCCAGTTTTATATTTGTAGATTTGAACGCATATCTTTGCGACAGATTTTAATGGTTGGCTATCTAGTTTTCCCATCTGTGTTAGAATACTATGCAGCCTGTTTTGCGTGCGTCTAAAAGGGGAATGTGTAAATAAAAGTTGTTTATAGATCCGCTTCGTCATTCCTACCTGGTCATCAAACCAGAAACGACATAGGCCTAACGTCCGCCATATTGGACACTGCTTCGTATGGAAGAACAGTTTTGCCTTCGACGGAATTAACATACGTCAGATCGACGTATCTGTTTCCTGGGCAAAATTTCATTCTTTTCTCGATAGTCGATAATGAATGATGATACCTATGTCTTGTTCCAAGCCAAAGACCATGCGATAAATATACATGTTTTCTCTACCAAAGAATGTAACTGACACCAACGCTTACCTTAATTAGCTGGTGCATAGCTTCTTCTTGGTCCGGAAATGGTCTTGAACCAGAGTCTTGAGGCCTTGCAGAATGGTTGGGATATGTCCCGACTGTGACCAGATTAACGACGACAAAATCGCAGCCCATCGTTTTGGGCTGATATCCGTGGCTTTGGGGTCTTTTTTCAGCGCGGGTCTACCGTGCAGACATTATCATATGGTTCTCCTTTCCTATCCTAGCGGACACCTGATTTACATGCAGCAAATAAAATGCACCCTTTTTTAAGGTGTGGCATCAAAATTAGATGTTAAATTTCTTGGGGACTTATGTTGTATACTGTGTTGATTTGACTGGTAATATGTCCGGTGTAGATGTGTTAAAATGGTGATATCTGTAGGTCAGGTAGAGGAGAAGCTTACAGTTATAGACGACAAAGTCAATGATACGCGAACGCGCGAAAACGTAGTTCTTCGCCATTGGTCGACGTAGGATATCCTGGACTGCGATTGGTTAAAGTCCATTTGAAAATATAGTCAGTAGGACCATTTCGTCCATAATGTCAACATGTAGACATTTAGGGATGTTGACTGTATTTTCGACGACATTTGTATCAGAAAGTAATGTGCATCTATTCATGCAACTGGTTTAGATTATACTAAAGGTAGCAACGACAGAAATATATCGTTAGCCTTTAAAAAGGTCATTATTGACACAGTATGTTATAACAGCAAGAAAGAATAGCATTTTCAGGCATTTTTACGGATCCATCGTTTTCTTACTATATTTTCAAATTCTTGAAGAGTCTATTGCACGGATATCGTTGGCATAGGTATGAAAACATCAAAGAAGAAAATCACGGAAACTATCAATAACTTTTATATTTCTTCAAAACGCTAATGCAAAATACAGTTCACACGACTAATCTCCACGCAGATCTTTTGGTGGGGGTAAGACAGTATCAAATTGGCCAGTCTGTATCCAGACTGGCCAATTTGAAGGTGACTGGCCAGACTGGCCAATTTGATGGTGGGGAAATGGATACAGACTGGCCAATTTGATACTGTCTTACCCCCACCAAAAGATCTGCTTGGAGATTACACACGACACCTTATATGTACATGTATAAGTAAGCCAGACTAAGCCGTTGTGACCAGCGTCCCCTTGTGGATTTGTTTATGACTGCAGTTCCGTCCCACGGTGACCATAAACTGGTCAATTATCTGTCGCTTCCCCTCCGGTAAAATGGCAAATGTGGGGAAAGCAACCCTGGCTTGATTTTATGGCTGAAAATTCGTACGTGCATTGATTTTCTCCCGTTTTCGGGACGAAAAAATGGGACATTATGCAATTTTGTTTCACCACTGTGACAGTTTTCTAAGACACGACGACGTGTGTCCGCAGAAGGCATCGTTTGGTTCAGCCAGACGACTGACACTAAAGCCTTACTTTCTTAAGGTTCTTAACTAATTGAACACATGGTATTCTAACTCTTTATTCTTGTCCATTTATCGAAAGGTCTTGTTTCAGAAGACGGTGGCCGAAATTCAGTCCATCCAGAGGCTCCCCCGCGCGACCAAAATTATATTGCATCGCTAAGCAATAGTCCACACACCTCACAGTGTTCTCAAAGAAAAACATATCATTTGAATAAATCAATTCATGACCTAACATCCCAGCATAAGATCATAACATTTGCCAGAGGAATAGCTGTAGAATAATGACAGACCTGTAACACCTTGATCTGTTCAGAAGTCTGTGGCGTGTAACAAAAACCTTCCAATAAACTTATTCTTAATACCTATAACAGTGTAATCAGTATTCGTAATACATGTTTTATAACAGCTGAAATACATAACATCTTATATTTAAGCACAATCCTTGTTCTAAAACATTAGAAAAAAATACGAAATCTGTCGACATCAATTTATTGTGCAGTGTTATTATTAATCTGTGTTGTAAGGCCTTGAAGACTAAGTGGTCAGACTAATATTAATCTATAGCTATACAGGTGGACAAGCTGCTAGCAAATTCCGTGATTGTCTGCTAAACAATTTGATTGCTCCACAACTATATATAGGGCTGCAAATAGGTCACAGCAACAGTTACGCCACAGAACCACGAAACAGTAAGGCTGATATTCCTGATATTGTGAGCTTCACGAGAAGAGCAGTACTGGAGATGTAGTCGGCTCTGTAGATGTTCTGACTCAGATTTCTGATGGATCCAGTAACAGCTGAAGATTCTGACTGTGAAATACCCGCCAACACACAGGACACACAGACAGACCTGTCTCATCCTGACTCTACAACAGAACATGTAGGTCAACATGAGATTCAATCCCAGCGCCACTCGTACCGGGGCAGTCTGGAGGAGCAAACGGACATCTCACCCGGACACGTGGGAGACCCGTTACAAACGGACATCTCACCCGGACACATGGAAGACCCGTTACAAACGGACATCTTACCCGGACACGTGGGAGACCCGTTACAAACGGACATCTCACCCGGACACGTGGGAGACCCGTTACAAACGGACATCTCACCCGGACACATGGAAGACCCGTTACAAACGGACATCTCACCCGGACACGTGGAAGACCCGTTACAAACGGACATCTTACCTGCACACGTGGAAGACCCGTTACAAACGGACATCTTACCTGCACACGTGGAAGACCCGTTACAAACGGACATCTCACCCGGACACATGGAAGACCCGTTACAAACGGACATCTCACCCGGACACGTGGAAGACCCGTTACAAACGGACATCTTACCTGCACACGTGGAAGACCCGTTACAGGACGTCCATAGCGACGCTTCATTTGAACACTCAGCTCTGACAACGGAGGAGAACATTCAACGTTACAGTCAAGTTATACTTCTTATACAGACGTTGGAAAAACTGAACAGAATCAAACACTTTATATTGATAGTACACTGGTAGAAGCAGAAGAACCACTAAAAGACATCTACGATATCTACGAAGGTCATAACGCACAAACCGTAGCGCAACACCGACTGTCTGACACCTGTCACCGAGAAACACCAGCCACTGTCTATCAGTCCGGCCGAGATGCCGACGATGCCTGTATGGACAGACCAGATGTCGGGATCTGTGATGCAAACAGCAAAGCAGAAGACATCGACCATAGTGACATTCAAACAGAGACTGTCGTTAAACAGTTGAAGGATGTTGAAAACTCCAGTCAGAACAGCAGACAGTGGTGAAGCCATGTCTGATGACGAGTGTATCCGTCCATATGCAGTGGCGTATGATCAGTACGGGCACAGCGGGACACATGACGAACAAGGGGATGTTTCCGATGTCCAGCCGTACGCCGTTGCTTATGACGATGATAAAGAACATTATGAGAACCAAACATCTACCGGCCTTGCTGTTGGCGACGAACTACGTATACGTCCCGACCCTGTGCCCAGTGGTAACGCGTTACATCCCAACCCTATGTACACTGGTAACGCGTTACAACCCAACCTTATGTACGTCCCAAATGGTGCACAGCTAAGGACATGTGAAGGTAAGATATTAAGAATGTGCCGCATAGTTACAATACTCTAGACATCATTGAGAACAGATCCATACCTATTTGTACGTGTATATTAGCTATAGTATTATTACCAGTCCGGTTTTGAAGACCTTTGTCATCACTTCTGTCAAGCAGGTTGTGTTTTAGCCAGATGTAGCGAGGATTGGTTGATTCGTAAAAGGTTCGGCTTAATATTGTATTCTTTTTCTAGTAGGGGATGTGTAATTTAGAATATTTCTTCCTTTCTGTTCTGTTTTCCAGGTCGCGGGCGCATCATCACTACAGGTGTGACCGTAGCGATAGTGATTTCTGTAGCTATTTCTGTAGCTCTTATTGGAACATTCGAATTCATGCCAGGCAAGCAAGACAGTTTCACGCCAAAGGTGAGATGTACTTTTCTATGTTTTTGGCGACGCCTCTTGGGCGGAGCCGTTGGTATGGTACTGCGATTGAGTTGAAAATATTTTAAGAATTCCACAAATGCATTCCCTAGGGAATAAAATTTTGTCAACAAGATAACTCAAGAATGTCTGGATGGATTGGTTTTATACTTGGTGGGTCCGTAGGGTGTGACTACATCTAGACATGATGAAATGTTTGGCCCCCTAGTGGCTTCCATTTGTACTGCAGCAGAACTTCTGGTCTTGATATCTCGCCATCTGGACATGTTATGGGTCATAAATTTTGGATGGTAGGTAGCTCTTGTGCCTGGAAAGAAGTCACGGGAGTTAAGGCCACCTAACTCTGGCACGATTTGCCAAAACGTAGCTCTTCTTTGAGCTGAACTAGATTGAGATCCTATTCGACCAACTTGTTTCTAAACGACTCTCTCTGTTTTGTCCCAGACCTGGCTGGACCTGACTTTCACAGGTAAAACTACAGACCAAACGGACGGAAGCCGACATGTGGACAACACGTCACCTCAACCAACCAGCACTGAAGGTAATGGTTTTGGACTTTGCACATGGATTTTGCACAAGCCTTGGATGGAAGAAGATAGAAGACAAGGTCATACTACTAGTATTAGCTTATAGATAGTTGTGCCAGCTCAGAAGAATAAATTCTCGTAGGTTAACTGTACGCTGTACCGAAGTAAGTTGACATCTTTGCCTTCAGGAAAGTGATTAATATTTTTTTATCTTGCTCCTTCTCAGGAGGGGAAACCGATGAGGTGAAAAAAACGACATTTGTCTTTGGACGTCCAGTAACAGAAGGCGGTGTTGTCGTGTCGCCTAGCAACGAGATATTTGTAAGTAACGGCTTGAACAAGTGGATTCAAGTGTTCAGCATGGAGGGTGTCTACCTTCGACAGTTTCCTACCATCACGTCAGGAAGCGAATGTGGGTCAATTTTACCCGTAGACATTTCCATTGACGGGAAGGGCCACATATGGGTGATCGGTGACTGTAGACCTTCGTCGTCAGGACGCATTGTTCGCTACACAAGCACGGGACAACACATAACAACCCTTCACCCCTCCCTGCCTAACAATACTTTCTTTGGCATCGCAGTGGACACACTTCGCAGTCATGTGGTAGTGTCTGAAGCCTGGTTTGACTATTCGGTAGTAAAGGTTCTGCATTTCAGCGGCACGATTGTTCGCGAGTTCAGGGTGCATCAAGGTTTGGAGGACGCTGGAGTGGTCGCTGTAGGACAAAATGGAAACATTTTTGGTGGCCGACTACGGCGTTCATGTGAACGTGTACCATGAAACCGGCCGTTATCTGTTTAGGTTTGGGGGTGAAGAGAAACTAAAAGACGTCACAGGAATCTGTACGGACAGTTCCGATAACGTTCTTGTAGCGGACGGGTCTGGTAGGAAAGTGGAACTGTTTACAAAGGACGGGCGGTACGTTCGCACAGCCGCTTCTGGTTTGGTTCATGTGGACAGTGTGGCAGTAGCGCCAGGGGGGCAGCTGGTAGTAATTGGTGGTAATAATATCACGATATTCTCACACTACTGATCCTTGAAAAATGTCTTTGAGAGTCTTGTCTAATCTTCATCGTCTCTCATTGACTTCTTGTTGTCTCCATTTTCCTTGAATACTTCAAGAAATAATAGATCATTATGGATGCAAAATGGTAACTTTAATGTCAATCATCAAAATTGTCGTTAGGTCGTTAGGACACCTTTTTAGTCGACACGTGGAAATACGTTTATGTAAATGCCACCGTTCCTGAGGCGTCGCCAAAAATGGCTTGCAGCATGGGATTTCTGTAAATTGACAGATAAGGGTACTTTGGTAACGTAGTGATGAGTGTATGTAATGTTAGATCTTGATGATATGTGACGACATTAACATACTGTTAGCTGATACATCGTTCCTTCTGTCAACAAAACGAATCTTTGGAACTTTTCTTCAGCCTGTTTCAAGGGGCTAGTTTTACAGATTTGATTCTTCAGGGTCCAGGCATCGCGTGTGAGACATTTTTCAAGATATCGCAAGACACAGGCCGTCTCGGCTCAAGCAGATTGACGCATTTAATCCAATTTTCGTCTGCACGATTACAATCATGTCTCAGAAAGGAGGCCATGGTCAGAGAATATAGCGATTATTAATTTCCTTGTATTGGCTAGACTCATACAGATCTACTGTTTATTTAAAAGATTTCGTGTTGAAGAAAATGGGGCAAAAAAAAAAAAATTAAATGGCTAGTCTGTCCAAGGAGGTTTGTTGTCTGGTGTGTGATATATATAGACATTGTTTGTAATACAAAATGTGCTGAACGCTATCCACACAGCCAAACGTGCCTGTCCTTGGTGCTGAACGCCATCCACACATCTAGCGGCCAGAGAATGAACTCAAGTCTCTGAGAAGAGACTACAGGTTATGTTAAATCATCCAAAAAATAAATATTTTTTTGTTTTGTTTTGGAGCAATGTATTATCGGTTGCTTGCTCACTACTCACAGGTAATCTTAATTCATTTGTATAATTATTTCCCTGGTGAAATTAAACAAACAAACACTCAACTACATGATATTCCTTATCTAGTTTTTCAGTGTCTGACGACTCTTGCTGCAATAATTTAATCCAGTACAATTCACACATTAACAAATCTCACAACTGATTTTTTAAAAATGCAACTTTATTCGCCCCAAACAAAACAAAACAAACATACAACATCAGCAATCATTTCTTTTGTCAAATTTACAATTGATTTACAATGATCACAGTTCATAAGATTAATAATTATCCATCAGCCTTCTGAGTTATTGAACCATTTCCCTCCACTGTATGATACAAGAACTTCCCTTCATCCTGAAAATTTCACACAAATATCACCGTTCAAAATTATGAATGATTTCACAATCAAAAATATCACTGAATTAAAGGCAACAATTGTCTATTTACAAAAGACATTATAAGGCATTATAAGAGACACTATAAATATGTTATATGTACAACAATTACATTGTAGCCAGTTTCTAGAACATGACCAGGGGAGAATCTTTGAAAATCATTGTTTGCAAGACAGCAAAGAATTTATCTTCAAGGTGAATTTCATTGAAAGGGTACTGTCACTGTCTCCTTGCACCAAGTATTTCATCACAAAATGCTGTGCAACAGCGCCTCTGTGTGATTGAGACAAGAACTACATCTTGTCATGTTCCAACTAACAGTACCAGTAGAAATTGTGCATTTGGTAAAGCCAAGAAGTTTTCTCTGAGAAAGGCAATAGAGCACCACAAGGACTTCACCTAAGAGCACCTAGAAGAGACAGCACCTTGAGATCATGTTCATCAGAAAAGATAGACATTAACAGCGATAGATGTCTTGTACCTCACACTCTAATCCTCCATTCACTGAATGCCATATCTATATCACAAATCTAGGTAGCTATTTACATAATATGATCTCTTCACACATATGTACAAACAGCTCCACAAGAAAACAGCAAAAACAGTTATCATGATATCAAGCAAAAACCTGGGCAGTCATGACATAGCTGGGTTACATGGTGACACTTCTTGGATATATACAAGAGCTGTTTTGTCAAAAGTTCACGTAAAATGATTTCAACTGTCTTTTTCTTAAATCAAGGCATTGAAATCCATGTATATGTACCACATGGACTTGTTTATTGTAATATATATTATGTAAATCATTTAATTTGTGTCAAAAGACTTGTCATGTTTTATGGTCATTGATTAATGTCAGCCCAAAGCATGGACTAAAACTCTACCAGGAAAATTGCAATGATGGCAATGTAATAGTCTCTACTCTTGAATGCTTAATGTAGCTGTACATGATTAACACTACAGTACTGCTGTTGGCAATAAATGCATTACATGTATGTACAGATCAGTTCAGTTATAAGCTCATGTGCAGGAACGAGATGGCCGCTGCCAACAGACACAAAAGGCACCATGGGAAGTACGCCCGTAAGGTATGAGCACTTCCTGTCATTGGGGCAGTAGAGGCAGGATCCATGACTTGGTAACCTGTAATGAAAAAAAAATTTATATCAACAATTATTGTAATATATTGTAGAATGCAAATAATTGCTAATACATGTGTGAGGAAAACTAGAAAGGTAACATTTGCTAAACAAATGCATAATGTTTACCTTCACAATTGGTCCAGCCTAACAAACTACTGCTTTTTGTTTATTCTTACAACTTCAACACATTCATATATAATATATGGTGAGCAGCCCCCAACTCTGTCCTGCTACAAAATGTAATCCAACACCACATGGTGTCTGGTACAGTACCAGTTACCATGGTGATAGATGTCTGGTCCAGGTCATTGAACTTAGTTCTTTGGAGAAGAAGAATAGAAAAAGGGCAAAAATAGAGGTTAACATAATAACTTTGTTATGGTACCTACCAGACGATTCATACGTTGCGAAGAAGCCCTTGTACGGTCCCGTGTTTCCCGCCCTGAATTCCACTGTCATCTGATTGGTCGCTGTTGTCACTGAGTACGTCTCCTCTTCCGACATTCTGCCGCAGATCGACACTGGAAATCAAGAAAGGTGAGATGTGATTGCCGTTTAACACCAAACTATGGTCTCTGCATGTGATTGGTCCAATCCAAATCTCTGTATGTTGTTTAGGGGTACTTTTAGGAAACCTATGTACAAGAATAGTATGTTCGCTATTTTGTGGATTAATATCATACTGTGTCATCAACAACTCATTTGCACAGGGATCTAGGATGTTGTATATATGTACTGTTTTTGCATTCCAACTTTTTAAAAAAATTACCGAGATGGTTCTTGTCACTGCCTACTCCATCATGCACAGTGAGTCTGCCAGTTTCAGCATCACACAGTGGCTTTAGCGGGAAGATTCCTCCCACACTGGAAAATGAGAAGAAATTATCATAAATCTACAGAGGCCTTCCTACCCTGCATATATGTATTGTTGGCTGCTTCCATAGATAGTAGTTGAAATGATCTTTATTCATGACACCAAAAGCATTAATTAACCTTACAGCAGGGATGAGAATCCCTGAATTGAAAGTTTGCGTCCAAAGTTACAACGGACAAGACAGGCAATATATACATCCCTCATATACATTATGATACATTATTTTGTACCAAGAAAATAACCTTTATACAGATGAGGTTTAGGAGAGATAAAGCTAGTGATATGACAGTTTTTGGTGTACAGGGCTATGGTAGTTGAATCGATAAATACAGTTTTTGCTCTCAACAGGAAACTGAAGAAAGGAGACAGGATTGACAAATTAGGAAGAGAAGGGAAATAATGTTGAACAAACTTACTGGAAGCTGCGGAGTTTGAGAGTGATGTTCTGTCCAGGTTCCACCAGAACCTCCCACTTACACACGATGTCATCATAGTCTGACGGGAAGTGGATGGACGTCAGAGTTCCGGTTGGGTAGGTATTCTTCCGAGGACTGCGACAGCCGCTCTCAACAACTGTATCGGTGGGTGGAGGATAAGAGGGAATACATCAGATCCTTTCCAGTACTTCGTTGTCTGTTTATGGGTTACACAAATGGCTACTAGAGTAATAGGAAGTCATATTTGTTTTAAACTGCTTGGGAAACTGTTGCACACTTAGGAAAAACTGTGCATTGTGTAGCGATGAACTGTAAACTGTGTATGTTTGTGTTGATGGTGTGTTCAGCACCAAGGACAGTTCTGTGCTAGGCATAACACGTGGTAGGCAGTCTCTTGCAAAGGCCACATGTTTAGCCAGTTTGTTCATTACAGTAATTCCACTGCTTGAACGAAATACTTTTTGGGGCAACCATCGCATCATGCCATTCCCTTTGTTACTGAGAATCTTCTGACATAGAGACAAAACAAGAAGTGAGCGTTATTTGATCAGATTGATGAGATTTGATATCATGACACACTCACTGTACCTAATATGATTTGTTTTAGGTCTATAATTTCCTTTGTAATTTGTTTTGTTGGGCTACCTCAGAAATCAGTTGTTCTAAACTGAAGGTACTACCCAACTGTTTTTGATCAATCAATCAATAAATAAATATCAATTAAGAAAAAGTGGACGTACTGCTTCCCGCCAGAACGCTGGCAAACTTGGCCTTGAACCCGTGGAAGCCCTGGATGTTTGTGGACCACCTGCTGGTGATGAACTTGACTGACAGAGAGTTCCCGGAGGACAGGACCACGGGAGGGATGATATCTCCACAGTACCGGCCTGGAATAGATGAACAAGGCCAATGTTAAATCATGTTACTCTTCATAATACAAATCACTGGTGACCGGGGACGATACCAACTTCTTCCAATAAACTTGGTCGCACTGTGCCTGTGCGAAATCACTGTTTCTGTTGGATGTTTGGTCAACGTTGAATCAAAATTTTGCCCTATGAAGATGATAGCTTTTCCGACACAACATTTGAAAACTCCAAACGGGATGCCATCCTTAAATAGTCAAATACCTTAAATGAGATGTTCTGCTGACGTGTTGTGCGAAATATTTTAGGAATTATATAATACATTCTGCTGACATGCCCTTGGTAACAGTTTGCCTAATTGATATTTATATAAGGCCATGTCCCCTTAGCAATGAATGATGAATAAATGAACAATGTCAATAGTTTCAACAAGACAAAAGAATGATCCAACTGTTGGGACTCACCGAGAAGAGCTCCTCCCTGTTCTGGAGAGTCGAACACCTCCACGTAGTGACGGGCACAGTTCTGTGGGGCAAGGGGCCAGGGATCGGTTCCCAGGTACGCAAACGTCAGCTGGACCAGGTGACCTACATGTACAGACCACAAAAAATGAGAGGTGCATTAGTGACGATCACCATTATACATGTGAAAGTCAACATTACAGTATAAAAAATCTTCCACAGGTAAAATAATGACTAAGCCTGCATGGGGGCGCTTTAACCACTTACTGTAGTTTTTCTCCATTTTTCTATAATACACTCTTTGGCTATAACGTTATTTAAGTTTTATCCTCCAATAGTTTTCTTGTATGTACATTAGATGTTAAACCATCGGTCCAAATCTTAGCACACAAGATGGTCAAACAAAACCTTGGTAAGATATCAAGGATTGAAAATTTGAAATACTAGTACTGGTAAACCAATCAGAATTTAGAATATCAAGTGTAGTAAAAAACAGTACAGACCTTCTGGTACGCTGAGGTGCCAGATGCAGTCGTCCCCAGGGGTGTATGCTCCAGGGAATCCTGGGGACGAGATTGTGTCATAGTTGCTTGTATGATAATCACCACCACACTGCTGATCACCTGTGAAAGAAAAAAAACATAATTCAACTTAGCTTAGGATCAACAGAAATGCATCCACCCCTGAGGCGGTGCCAAAAACTGCATAGTCATAATATTGACCCAAATAAAAATCCTAGGGGACGTCAGAACATTTTCAATTGGGCCCCTCTAATACCACTTTCTTTTTTAATTGACCTATGTTTTCCTTTCATACTGAATTGAACCTCCTTGTTTGACGTGTAGTTTAGTTTACTTTGCTTAGTTTTGTTTTGTTTTGTTTTCTTTATCATTAAGGTTGCATGACAACAGAAGCCACAAGGTTGGAAGGACAGAGTACAGTGACGCCAGGAGCCTGACTGACCCCAAAAGCGCATCCCCTTATCAGTGAGATCTCAGGTCCCTCAAAGGGACGTTTAGATGATCTATGGACTGTATAATCCCCACTGCTATGCTCTACTGGTCCTAACCTGACTGGTCCTAACCTGACTGGGTCTATCCTGAGGGGAAGAACAACTCAAACAGACTTTTACCTCTCTTTTAAGATTTCTAGCCTTTGAAATATTGACGACCCAACGGTCTACCATTTTGCACTCAGGAATAAGACAAGATAACACCTGTTCAGCATCAACCAGTGACAAACCAGTACCCTATAGGATAACCGTCAGTAGCCCTTTTGTTTGAGAGTTGAGATAAGATCGCATACCACGCTACTGTGACCTGGTCAAAGGACCGCGAGACATTTAGGAGAAAGTCATAAATTGGTTTACATATACAGACGTTAAAGTTTTATCTTTATGGCGTGAACTAGAGGTAGAACATCTGGAAATTATCTGTATTTGATGTTCTCCAGAAGAGAGAAGGACATACTTTAATGGAGTTACGAGGAGTTAGAGTTTAATCGCTACTATTTATCAATTAATTAAGGATGAACGCTTCTGGGAAAGGGGTTATCTTGGGGGTATATGCCGGTGGGGGTGTTTGGAGCAAGAGTAAAGGTAGCAGCTGGTTTGTTTCACGATTCCTTCAAAGGGAGTGATACAAAAAATTATCTTTACACTTTTGAATGCTGCTCTCTGTCGGTTCGTATATCTAAAAGGGATAAAATAGGAAGAATACTCGGGGGTGAAATGGTGGTTCTTTCGGGCGTCATCCCATCTGAGAAGCGTCCCATCTGAGAGGACGCCGTGACGCCGTCCCATCTGAGAAGCGTCCCATCTGAGAGGACGCCGTGACGCCGTCCCATCTGAGAAGCGTCCCATCTGAGAGGACGCCGTGACGCCGTCCCATCTGAGAAGCGTCCCATCTGGGAGGACGCCGTGACGCCGTCCCATCTGAGAAGCGTCCCATCTGAGAGGGCGTCGTGACGCCATCCCATCTGAGAGGACGTGGTCCCGTCTGAAAAACGTCCCATCTGAGGGGACGCCGCCCCATCTGAGACGTTTTGTAGTAGATTGTACACAGTTGACGTGACACATTTTGTATCGTTGGTTGGGCCTATCGAGGCACATAATTAACGAGCCGGAGATCCTCTGGCGAGAGATCCTCTCGTCACCGAGGATTTGGAATCGCCATTTCTGCGCGCGTGTCCAAATAACCCGCGCGTGCTTGTCATATCTATGGCCATATTTGAATGCATCACGACAACATCGATTGACCGAGTGTCCTTCCGAGGCTTACTGTGAACAGGGGTCACTGGAAATGTGGACTTACAAAATGGGAATTTTATGGCGAAATTACAGACCTAATGATAATGATCCACAGGTTTTTAATGATGGTGAGTAATTATGTTGCGGATGAGCGTACTACGGGTTAGTACATGCTAACGCTATGTCATAACAATTCATAAAAGCTTAAGACTACAAAACTTCATCTCAGCATACACATATCCAGCTGTATGTATGCTAAGTGTTGAAAATGCACGCCAACTTTCTGAAATTATGTCAAAATTGATCTTTCTTTGTTCGACTCTTTGTTTTTGTTTAACACACAGAAAATGTGTCGATCACTCAGATGTACATTATGTTTTATCGCGTCAAATGAAGCATCCACTGGATAAAAACCTTAAAGCTTTTGATTGACATGTTGATTGACGTGGCACTTAATACCTTTTATTCGTGGTAATTTAATTACATGAAAGCCATAACCGTTCCACGCACGCGAAGATAGGAACACGGTATGAAAGGTCATCCATTATTGAAAGAATATTGGTACTATTGGTATTGATGTCTTACTAAGTCGTAAATGCATGTTCGTTCTCATTTTGACAATACATAAATACCGAATATGGTTATGTCTGTTTCATCCTAAATGTAAAAAATATTCAAAATATACAAAATTCTATATACCGAAGAGTATTTACAGTTGAACTTTGCTTGAGAGGGAGGGATATAGAAATCATAACAAGATCACAGCAAAATATGTATGCTTGTGTTTTCCTTTTGATAATTACGCTGAATGGGCTTTCGTCTGGATGATGTTCGTCAGTTTTGCTCGACATTTTGACACGATCCCCACCTGTGGTATCAGCGTAAGAAGATAAAAGCCAGCGGCTACAGGATGACGGCCCATCTGAGTCGAGTAAAATGAAATTTATGCCGTCTTTCCGTGAAGGCCATTGAGGTTCAGCTCAGGACAAGTTCAGGGACGCTCCATTTATTTTATTCAGGGAGGGAGGTAAGTATCGAGAAATTGATAATACAATAGAAGTGGAGGCTAGAAATCTCACAAAACTACACACGTGTGCTTTGCACGTTTCCTATTGGCAAGGATAGAAGGGAAGGAAGATGATTTGTTTCAACAGTACAAAACTAACATGGCGGAATCGGGATGACCTTGACACTATTCCAGGGACGCCATAGTCCAAGTTCAATATACTCCCGTCATGCACTGGCCTCGTATTTCAAACTGCTCTAAACGTATCGCAAGCAGTGAAACACAAGTTATGTTTGCTTGTCCCTACCTCTTTTACAATCACAACCAGGCCACACGCTTTGTCAATACCTTCTCGGTCAGTTGTTTTGTCTAGACGTTTGGAGGTCAATGCCCTGGCTGGGCTATTGAAAACTAACTCTACCTAATTACATTTTAACTAGCTCATCAGTGTGCCGTTTGAAACTTCACACAATGGCTTCTTTCTGAGTTGTTGCAGGTGTAAAGATTCGCTCTAGGAATTATCCTTGACACACGTGTGGGACAGTTTTATGGTGTGTGAACCCCAGACAGAATACTCCCAGGTCATTCACGTGAGAGCTAACTCACCCCAATCCTGTGTGGTGCCTGCCTACCTAACGACAATGACTCCAGTCAGTACAAAAGGCGAATTGTACCATAGACAAACAGTTAGTAAGAGTTTGCGAAGCCTTGTAAAGGATATTGCTGAACTAGCGGTTAGGTAAATATCAAACACTTCAATATATGTGATCTGTGAGCAAAAGAATCAGAGATGACATTTGTGAAATCATGGAGCGTGAAAAACGCGATGTTTAAGTCAAACTGGAAACGCCCACTCTTTCCGATTTTACAAGGTCACACAAACACTGCAGACAATTTTTAAAAAGTCGATCGTTCATCTTTTCACACGTTGTGCAATTAGAAAAACCGTGACATCTAAAATACACTACACAAACTTGTCTGAACATCATATACACACCTGCAATATTGCTTCTTAGAAACACTTTAACTTCCTTGCTTCCTTTGCTAGATATAGCGTGTGTATTTTGTGTGCATCTTTTACAGCTTTAATAGTTTTCCCCCGCCCAGTACAACAGCCCCGTCCAGTACGAGTGTTACGCCTGTAGGAGCTTTGCTAATAGAGTTTGGCACGTCGGGAGTTGATTTCGCCCCACCACATAGTCGATCGTGGTGGGCCTCATCATCAAACTCCCGCCGTGAAAAAAAAAAACTAAGAAGAAGAAAACCCGCCCCAACCACGATAGAATGGATACCATAAAATACTCCGCGAAGGGCTCTCCTAACGTCAGTTCACCTGTCAGCCGACCTGCCAAACGTGAAAACAGACGACGCCTCCTACATGTGCACTGACCCGGAAACTTGTCAACAAACCGCCGGGCCTTGACGACAGAGGCGACATGAAAATAAGACGCCTTTTTGTCAACGGAAAACCTGTCAATAACGAAACACGGCCTGGCCATGAGAGATCGGATGGCCGGCCAAACAAACCGTTTTAAAAAGCTGGGCATACTTGTGGTGACCTGTCACCTATTTATTTACCAAACCATCTTTATTTTCATATTTTCATTCTCACCATTTCAAAACAATGATGCTGTGCCATACTGGGTTAGTGGCCGGTACCGCAAATCAGCGTTACTTCGTATATTAGAGATACACACATATCTAAGCTAGATGGTGGGGCTAGCAAGGTTTCCCTTAGTATGCCTCAAATTGTACAAGCCATCAAAGTGTTTAACTGTGAGATTTAGCGATCGCAAGTAGGTAATAAGAGTAAATTTCAACACCCTGACCTAGAAAGATCATATTTACATATCGTATACATCAAACACTTTATAGGTTTATGGCCTTCTTTTTTATGGAGCGACTGTTTAATGTCAAAACATTACAAACGGACGTCTCTTAGGCCCGATTTACACAGCAAAAATTCTGGTTTTCCTGAGCCGGCTCCGGGGAAGCTGTCTCAATTTTTAGCCATGTAAACAGGAATTTATGGGTCTTGAGACGCGATTCCTGCTGTGCGTCTTGAGCTACCTTCTAGAGGTGGCTCAAGACCCTCAGCAGGAGGGCCAAGCCGCTCAGCGGGAGTGCCAAGACGCGATTTTCAGTGTGTAAACGAAACGAGTCTCAGTTTTTTTGCACCCCGCACCATTTTGGAAGTAGTTTGTTTACGTACACTGAGTTTTCTGTCTCCCCGTTGCCTGAAATGTGCCCCACGATACGATACATTTCATTTTCTGAGTACACTGCAATTAATCTTGTTTTTATTTTCTATTGGGGGACATTTGCCGTTTTTTGTTTTGCTTTTTGCCGTGCTTGTCTGCACATGTGCAGATGGAGGGCAAGGAGAAAATCTGGTCGATTGCTGAGACCCAGTGCGAGGACTGAAATCCAGGCCCAACTGGTTTGAAATCTTACAGATTAACACAGAATGATACACTAGTGTATATTATTTTCAGGAAAATCTGGTGATGTCCTAGAATAGGTGAACACAGATCACCACTCAGCCGTAACCACTTGGGCTCAGCGGGGTGGCCAAGCCAGCATGTGGCAGTGTGTGTGAACGCAAGGTTCCCAAGACTTCTCCGGCGGAGAAGTCTTGGAAACCCGCTAGCTGTCTTGGGTGTAAATTGGGCCTAAGGACAGAAACAACACGGGAACGGCACCGAATGGCACGAGCATGCGAACAAAACATGCAGAACACAAAGAACCAACCTACTAAATTTGTGAACGGTATTTTTGACAGATAACTTCGTTTGAAACAGATGTGGTTCTGTTTTAAAGGGCTTGAAGTTTGCAACAACTGAATTTAGAGGCGTAAAGGACTTAATGAATTGAGTGTTTTGATTCCTTTCACCTTATGACAGGTAGGGATGCTCAGATGGCACATTGAAGTCGTCAACATATATTTTACATTTCTAATTGTAGTTAGGTGTTGGTATCTCACGTTTCTTAAGGGTTGTACGAAAGAGTTTACGACACCGTAAATATGGAGAATAAAAATTGTTCTGCGAAGACACCTGCAAAGTTACATTTTCGAATACTAGTAAAACATTTGCCACGCGACTGAATCGCGGTCAAAACGCAATGCATTGACAGGTGCTGGCACTTGGGACTATTAGATTTTACAGTGTTTCTTGACTTGTTTGGGGAAACTAGAAACATTGAGAACCTTAGCAAAGATCACTGAGTGTCCGAGCGAACTCGGTAGAAAGTTCAGCGACCTAGATCCTTTTAACCCTTGTTTGAAAACTGCAGTTATCTAGACAATGTTTTGGAAATACAAACCCCACCTAAGACGATAACTGATACATTTCTGGACGGGGCCCAAACGGTGTGGTCATTGGCTAAAAATTCGAACAGCGTCACGAGCCATTCAGCGCTAACAAAGACTTGCACCCGCGTGAGTATCAACTGGCGCTGAATAATCTGCTGGTTTCTGGCACGGATCCAACAACAACAATGCATCAGTGCGACCAGGTAGTGAAGCTAACAACTATGAGTTAACGTTACAGTGTTCAAGTTAACGATAACTCGAATTAAAAATAAGCACAGCTTTTAAAGGTTTCTTACGGCATTAAAACCCCACCCCTATATTGAATGTACTCGTCCGATGACGCTTTTTGGCGGGATGTCAGAGACTCAGGACGGAATATGTGATTATATTATAAGATGATAAGATTTGTACTTGTGCCAGCGGCTATACGATGAGTGATTGCCTACAAATGCATAAGGAACGGGAAATGACATAACAGCAGTATAGTCTACATCATGCCACAATAATGCAGAGTTCCCTGTGGAAATCACGTGAAGGGCGTTACGGAAATTCTGACTTCACCTAGGTCATCTAGGGTCAAGCAGAACGCTCTTGAAATATCTTCACTTTTCATGCAGTTCACGTGAAAAGATAGTGAAAAACAAACATATCCTACTTGATTAGAATTCTAGAAATTCTGTTAGAAAGCGTTATCACACATACTGATGCTGAATTCGTGACGGGCATGTTCGTAAGGCGGAAATCAGTCTACACAACAGTCAGTCTGACTTACCGGCGATCCAGGATGCACAGTTAAGGACAAGTAACACAGACAGCGCCGTTCGGTAGTCCATCCTGTCGTTTGGTCAACCTGTCAATCAATCGAGGAAAACGGAGGACTGTAGTACCTCAGTACGGTTATGTTGTGTAATTGACACGCATGCCAGGCATTGTATACAACATTTTATATAAAGCCCCCCTGGCATTTTCTACCCAGGGTGTACGGATCAAACGACAACCTTAAAATTAATGACCATCTTCCATGCGGTGCAACTGTGCATAAAAAAGGCGGGAAAGTCGTGAAATGGTTACAAAATGTCCGCTTCCTCTTATCCGTTAGAGTGAACCTAGTCAGGCCACGTCCTTGGCGGATATTGTGGTTACGTAGACGTATTACCGGCCGGCTATTCCACCGGTATCTTTGTGTTCACACCGAGAGGAAAAACGCGTTTGGGGAATAAAAACGGACTTTCTTCAACGAAAAACAAGCTGATTTCTTATGACAAGTGTAGTGTACTTACCAACTGAAGTCCACACTGATGAAGAGGAGTAAAATGTTGCTTGAAAACGTTGAAAAATGCGAACGCCGGTTGGAGCTGAAAACGCAACCTTCTAGCATGGAGTCGCCATTGTTGTATCTAGGGGGAAGGAACTGGGCTTGAGCTAATTTGCGCTCTCTGATTGGCTGAACCCGTGGGCTGATCTGTGGGTGTAACCAGAGAATCATCACAAAAGCGGCGTGGCACCTCCGGCTACAGACATGCGTTCTGGGCACCTAAATAGCAGAAAAATCCGGTCGTCCGTTCGCCATGTTTGAATATTGAAAACAAGTCATCCGATCGAGAGAATATTTCGCGAATGTCGTCAACATCATATCATAACTGATTTTTGGAATAGGGTGTCCGTTTGGTGACGTCGGTCAGGTGATTTGACGTCAGAATTATTATAAATAGCGTCTGCCTTAAATCTACACAACACAGATGGTGTGATTCGTAACTAGATTAGTCATGCTTATTTTCTGACGTTGGGAGTGGTGTAACAAAATGTTTAATCGCTCGTGACAAAACTGCTCTAATATACCGCACTTAATTGTAATTGTTGCTCCAGGGTGCATCTAAGGAATCTTACGTAAATGAATCTACCGTTGTCTTGACGTGTGTCATAATCCATTTACGTGTTTTTGTGTTTTCGAATCTCTGTGCCAACGTTAATTTCATGTACTGTGTAGTTAGTACTCGGTTGTTGTGTTTTGCCATTTTAGAGACTGGGGAAGACGCCTATAATTTCATGTTGAAAGAACAAAAGTGTTTTTTAAGTAACACTGTGACACACTATAATTCATAGCATAGTATAGAGGTAAGCTACAATTATATATGTGGCATATATGGATCTATTCAAAACGGCTGTTTGAGATAAATGCATGGATCATGAAAAGGCAGAGGCCAATAATTATCATCATATCGTAAAAGTAAAACATTTTCCTCCGGCAGAAACTGGTTAAAATGACCCACTGCCCCTTGGTTAACACTCACGTGTCATTGCATGTAATGTGGTCCGCAAAGGACAGCTATTAATGGTAGTTACTGGATAGTTCTATATTATCTTTGCTGGCCATCTATACACAGCACATTACACGGATTTTATGGGTAGACACTTGGACTTATTGGGTGTTATCTAGGTTATAGGCCCCGGGGTCAATTTTCGGTCAAATGCAACTAATTCGGAACTAAATTCGATCAGATTTTGTGAACGAGAGGAGCTCGAATCGGATTTGGAAATGCGTATTGTCAAACTCTAACCATGGAGCCTATGACCTATCTTGGCGAATAAAATTGATAAAACCCAAAGTTAACAGAGTGTAAGGGCTCGGTCAGATTCGTCCTAGGACAAGTTACGACAGAACGTTGGTCGCATTCTTGGGACAGTTGGGGATTTGTCGTAGAAAACTCAACCGTCCTTGTCGTCGACTGTTGGCTTTGTCTCAACCTCGCTGAAAATCATGCCCACGACAAAAATCCTGTTACAACAAACACGTAGCAAAATGTTATTTTTCATAAGATACCAGTTACTTTTCATCCAGTCATGTTTGTAAAATGTGGTACTAGTAATAAGTACAGCGTTTTACGAGTTATCCGATGACAACTTGTGACGAGGTTAGATTTGTCTCCTTTCACTGCACAAGAGAAAGCTGTTTATCTAGTTCCGAATGATCGGGTACGAATGCGGAGGTAGTAATTAGTACAACCCGGAGATGGCGCGAAAGTCAGTCCTCTTACGTGAGCATTGGACAGGTAACAAATTCAAACTGACGTTTCATTAAATGCGACTATATATGTTAGACACAGGACTGCCGTAAAGAAACTACAGATCAGCTGCCACAAACTACACCCAGAAAATTTCAAACCCATACTTGCAATCTCCTAGAATAATGACTAAGTCAATACTGTACTCATAGAACGAACGCCATTTTATAGTAGACTGTAGATATATAAACAAAGAGACAGCTGTACTTAACAGACAGAGAAACCCTTGTCATGTGTGACCTTTAGTTAGCCCACCGGGGTTAATATCTACAATAGATGTCTCCATTCATTAAAGAGATAGAACAGGTGTTTTAGACTGAACTGTGTCTGGCATACATAAAAGCTAAATATTTCAGTATTACACCAGACCTTCGTGACATGTGCTGATTGGCAATACATGTTTTAGACTTTTGGGAATTTAACTAATTGTGTATTGCCTTCCATGGCACATTTCAAAGAACGTAAATATACCAAGAGTTCATCAGCTAGCCTTGTTTACAACTTGTATACAACAGCTTAAATGTCGACGTTCAACTTAAAAAGGATGTTTACGATTCCTGTATACAGTTCAAAAACCCTGGCGCTAATTTTACCAACAACTATCCCCAAATGTTCCGTATCAGACGCACATCGGCACTATATTTACACGCCCCGCCGTCTGGTTTTGTACTGGAGTTTAGCGAATGACGTCAAGACCTTTACTTTTAAGTCCGGGCCAAATACCGTTTTGGGCCAGTGAAATATTGCCAAAGCTCGGACAACTAATCACTTTCCAGTCAACCTACCCATTACATGGCGCCACACAGATCTCTGTGGTAGATGTAGGGTAGTTAGTTGCACGCTCTGACTGGCATAGTGCCTGCACCAATGCCAATGGCACTATCTGTAAATGTCAGTGAGACAGAATACTCGAGGAATCCCTTCTTGGCGTCTGTATGGCATTTATCTTCAAGACATCTGAAATCCTTCCTCTTACACAAGCTTTTAACTATATATAAAGGGAAAATTAGTTTTCTTATTAGTTATATATTTTCTGTTAATTCTTTTTCAATTAATTATCATATTAATTTCATGATTATCATTTGTTAATTAAGTCCGTAAGGAGGAGGGCCCTGTACAAGCCCTGAAGGCCTCCTGCACATTGGGTTTCTTTTATGAAATTTTCTATTTGTTATATTATGTCTTTTAAGATGTGCGAATAAATAAACAAACCAGTTGCAGGTACAATGAAAAACAGACTCCTCAATTCAAGTTAAGAAATGACAGATCATCGTTTGTCTCTTGTCTGCTATCCTCCCCCCCCCCCTCCTCATTCCGTACCCCCAGACACTTCATATCAGTATACCAGTACCAGTCCCCAAATGTCGCCTACCAGACTGGCCACACAAAACGCCCTCTTGGGCATCAAAAGGCCCTTTGTCCTCCCGGTCAGCCGCCTTGCCTTGACCCTGACTAAGGAGCAATTAAGAACCTAAGAGGGATGATCCACGATTTAAGCTGACTACATGCTGTAGTTCACATTGTTGTAAGCAGCTGTAATAATATAAGGCTGAACGTCTTGAACTTGAACACTTCTTGAAATCTGGTTTGTAAGAAAAGTCTCAAGTTTTGAGAGCGAGCTGAAGAGCATTCTAGACAACATAAGAGCCGTCCACAGAAGAACCTGAGACACCTGTGTGTACATTCTGTCAACTCGCGAGAGGTCAGAGGTTAAACACACGTCCCATGGAGAGGACTCAGTGTCAGGTGTAATATTTCACATGTTCTTTCAGGTCACGTCTGTGTGCACGTGCGGCTTTTGTACTACTTCAGCTCACTTGTGAGAGGGTTTCTACCATATTAATGGAAGACAAGTCAACACATTGAGTACTAAACCTGCAGTTTTGGTACCACAAAAGTTGAAAAAGTCGTTCTTGACCTTGAAACTCTAAGGAGTGTAGTACTGTAACCTGCATGCAACAAGTGCAACTATTCAAATTTTCTTCAATAAGTTAGTTGGTCTGCTACAACGTATAACAGTACTAGTTCATGTTGGTACATTATAATTAATGTCACAGTACGTTTGACAGTACCTATTGTATGGTATGATATATGGTAAGATTATTAGGATATGGTGTTGTGAATCCGTGTGATACAATGTTGTGATAATATCACTTTGTCTGGAGGTACCAGTCGGATCCGGTTTTACCGGGGGCATTGGCCTAGGTCACTGAACTCAGCCTGGCCGCTCGGTCGAACTGTACATGACCATTACACCGTGGCTAGGCCTATCCTAGGGGCGAAACAGAAGTCGGCACATGAAATACTCGTGACAGTAGGATGCCTTTAACACGTATTATGCTGTCTAAAAATGGTTACTAGCGCGAAATTGTCAATCAGAAAATCAATCAGAACCATGCTTATAAGTGCAACAATGAAGGATGTTTGGATATGCTGCTACAGTGAATTACTGAAATTCATAGAAAGCCTACTAAAATCAGTTCTGTGTACAGGGATAAGGGGGTATACAGTTATCCAGATGTTGGAACCGCATCCTTGCCACAGCGCCGCCTAGTGGCAAGAAGTGGTTCAAGTCATTGCAGTCGTGAGAACGGTAACCGGCAACGTAAACATCACATGATTGTGTACAGTAGTACTCCAAAGAAGAGCACTTTGATCGATCCAGGTGTACAGAACAGGATGTCTGAAAACTGACACGATCGTTAGAGACGCCCAGTAGGCAGAAAACGCCACGATCTTCCAACCTAACATCTGCTTGAAGATAAGTATACTAGGACATTCACCCCTGAGTCTTATTGATCTTTCACACTCACAGTGAACAACAAGTCATCAATGTACATTTCGAATGCCGGTTAGTGTGTTTTCAATTTGCCCCGTTCTAACCGTTCAGGTGACTTTGGCTTCAAGCCATGACTTTCTGGAAGCGTCCGGATTCATAAGGAGAAACCACAGGAATTTACAGCATCCTGTTTTCAACATGTTGTACAAGAATGTCAACAAACAAGTCTGCAGCAAACTTGGAACGAACCCAAAAGGTTCATATCCATAAACCATTCAAAACCCAGTGAAATATTTTCAGGTTTTGTGACTTTCTCACGAAGCAGAAGCAGAGGTTGGGTGTTGGGTTGGCGCAAACAAAATTCCAGTGCGAAAAAGAAACCCCGATAAAAAGGCTAAAACACGCCAAAAATAAGCCAAAACCCAAACCTCTGCTTGGAGAGTACTTACACTCAGCAAGTTTCGTCTGTCACCCTTGCCACAGTTTCTGAACAGACCACAAGCCGTTAACACATGCCAAGAAATGCAAAAACAATCTCATTAATTTCTAACTCTTCGCCCCAACCCTGCTAGAATTATCAAAATAGAACAGTCCATATCTACAGGAAAGAAAGGTCTTGACACTCCACAGTGGCAGTGTGACGTCAATGAAGTGACACAGGGCGGGAACGTGCAATGTCACAATGTACCCTGTCTGTTGGCGCTACGCCCAAACCATATTTGTGTTGTCTGGCCTTAAGCGTTCATACGTACACTGTTGTGGTACAGTACTTACGTCACTGACCACGGTTTTGACATTGTCCCCATTCTCCCAGAACCTGCGCTACCATAACCGTGTTGGCTTTACACTTGATGGTGCGTGTGTTCAATAATACTCGCAAATCAGCTGTGCAAACTTTCACAATGGGCTTTTCGTACCCCGTTGTTGAAACCAAGGAACTTCTATCAACTCCTTGTTGAAAATGACACTGTTTGCAAGGATAACAATGTCCCTGTATATACATCGTGACTGGGTGATACCGTGGAAGTCAAGGTTACGAGGGAGAATGTGACCTTGCCCTCTCTCCCCTTCACTAGAGAAACCCTAGTGTTGTGTTAGTATCGCATCTAATGATCTAGTGTGTAGTATATTGTTCCGTTCTTTTTAATGATCCATATTACTAGTAAATACCTGCATCAGAAGGTAAGTATTAAAATAATGGATCTTTTGAATGTAAATCGACAAGTCAGTAGTAAGTGGAGATGGTAGATATGTCATATGAAAATAATGAGGGCGAAGAAACTGGATGACACGAAAGATAATGTTTTATCACAATTTCGTCTACAAATACTTCGTTTCAAAGAAACTCACAACAACAATAGCGTCGTAGAAGTATGCAACGTTTAGAATTTACATCAGCATAGATTCCACGCAAGTATTCCACACAATAAGCTCCATAAAAGACAAAAACACGGTCTGTATGAAGCACTCTAGAAGTTACGGCATTGGTTACAGTTCTGTTTCAAACCGCTAGAGGCGTCATTGACCGCACTACGCAGAAGCACCCCAAGCAGGTTTTACATGAAACGCAGCAAAGATGATTATTGCAGGTTAAAGAGATGAAGCTAGAAATGATAGTGCATGAAATACTTTAAGCCTTGGCACAGCAAAATAATATACAGCTTTCATAATCTCTCATTCGAAACAAGCGCAAACAATAGCTTTCCTAACTCTGTACATTACATTCTGTGTTAAGAGTACAACACAATACTGGCTTTTGTTGTCAAAATATCCCATTATTTTTTACAAGCAAAACAACAAAAATTACAGGGAGGGTGATACTACAACTACACGTCTGTCTGGTTTACTGTCATCGCGTGATGAGGAAAGTATTTACGATGACGAGGAAGAGAGACAAGACAACTACAGTGACCGTGACATGTGCCCGGTTTGAAGCCCCGACTGGTAGCAAAGTGCCAGTCGCCCCCAGAGGGTCTGTTGTACGGACTGCTGGGGGAATAGTCGTCGGCAAATCTGTAAAAAAAATTATACAAATGAATACATTATCAAGTGCTGATAAGCAGGAAATCTTCCCAAAGTTACAGAATAAGCAAAGAGAACAAAACTTATTTTTACAATTTCTTACAAAAATGTGAACACCATCCTTACCTACTGAACGGTACGTCGCAAAGAAGCCCTTTTTGTTGATAAAGTCGTCCGACACGAATTTTACGAACATTTGGTTGGAGTAAGCTCTCACACTGCGTGACTCCCATCCGCAGTAAACTTCTACACGAGACCAAATTAAAAAAAAAGATTAAAAAAACAAATTTCACAAGAAGATCCAGGTCAACTGGAATTCAACAAGCGTATTCCTTTGCCAAATTATGCTAACCTTAACAACTGACGATTTATAACTGTTTCTCATTGATTATGCAAATAGGATTGTCTGTTGCATGCCAGTTAACAATTTTTCGAACTTGACCATCGTTTCCTCAACGGCTACTAACCTACTAAACACCCATTCAAAGCTTCTTGAGTTATGCATACATACATACATGCAGATCAGAACACAAACACAACGAAAGCATAACCTTCTTGTCTAAGGTTAAAATCCAACTGTTAAATAAAGCTTACCCAAACGTTTCCGGTTGACGCCAATGCCTTCGTACACGGACAGATAGTCGTTGGTCTCGTTCACACAAGTTGCCGCGAGGCCGCCCACTAGGAAGTTGAGCACGTTGAGTTCCACGTGTTTGTTCTGGGCCACGGTGATCTCCCACTCACACTGCGTGCTGCTGCTGTAGTCGTCAGGGTAGTTAATAGAGGCGATAGAGCCGCTCGGAGCCGAGAGTTGCCGAAGGTTGTTGCAACCCGAGTCAGGGCCTGCGAACAGAAATTTTGTTCATGATACCGTCAAATATCTAAAACAAGAAATTGGCGATTTCAAACTTCAGGGACTTGTGACTGGCTCCTGGTCAGATTCTGACTTCCTCTCATTCTCCACCCTCCCACGTGCTATCAACCTACTCCGGACAGGCAAACAGACAAGCCCACGCGCTCAGCCACCCAAAACAATACTTCTGATTATCACGATAAATTCTGACACCATGCTGTATTTATCACTGTGAGATGATAAACATCGATGAACCCACCAGAACTTAGTGATACCGACGAAAAGGTTGCCAAGAAGCCCCTGTAGTTATTGTTGGAGAAGCCGGTAGTGATGAACTTGACCGTCATGGTGTTGCCGTTTGCGATCATAATCGGAGGAAGGACCCTGCCGCAGAACGTTCCTACAACACAAACACAAAATAAGGAAACAGTCCGCAATATCTGCAGCATTATTTTTGTAACTTAGAAGAGTTCTGGCTGAAAAGACCAATATAACGTTTGAGCTGTTGGGCATGGCGTGATCCATAACGTCGGAATGTATAGTCGTGGCCGCCATGTTGGTGGAGGCCATACATCCAAGATGGCCACCGGTTATTAGAAGGACAATGATTCAAAGAAAGGCATTACTCTTCGCAGTCTGGTACCATGTGTAAGCTAGGAGGTAGGTAAAAGATGAGAAATTCAGCAACTATCTCACATTATGGTTTCACACGCGTTTTGTTCCACCAATATGGCGGACTATGTCGTGCTCACGTGACCTTACCTAACTTTGTCCCGGATGTAGGGTTGCCCTCGTATATCTCCAGATAGTGCCTGCTGCAGGAGCCCGGCGTGGTGATGTGGGAGGGGTAAGGGTCGATGTCGATCTCCTCAAAGCTCAGCTTGATGGCGACGTTAGAGCCGAAGACAGACAGCGTCCACATGCAGTCCTCGTTAGTCTGGTACGGCTGGGGGTAGTCCAGGCTGTTGAACGACGTGCTGGTGCGCGTTGAGATTTGTCCTCCACATGCTGTGAATAGAAAGGATTTCATTTAAACACACGCCTAGCGACTTGCGACGGCAGTACCGCGTACCACATTTATAGCGACGTAAGAGGTAAATGATTGCTTTTTTATATTTCCTCGATATATGTTCTTTTTCACTTCCTCCTCTGCAACAGAAAATCATTGAGCGCCTTCTTTCTAAAGAATCCCAAAGGGGTATGTTCGTATTTCGCAAAACAGGTGTATGTGTGTGTACGCTGCGCAAAGTGTTGGTGGCTTATCTTTTAATCTTCAGCTTTTTAAGAGGTTTGGGACACTCTGGCCATTCCAAAATGGAAAATGTCGAAAGTCATCTGTGACATTCAGCGAAATTATTTGAGAACTATCATTAAATCCGTCCATTTTTCCTGAACAGACCGGGTTTTCTTGTCCCGGACACCGACTTTTGTGAGTTGGTATTTCCATGACATTCGTCCAATGAAAGCCCCAAGGCCTGTGGAAGTACAGGAGTGCCAATCATTCCTGAAACGAGGCCACCCTTTATCTCCATAGATCGCAACGTGTATGGAACGTAAGAAGCTGCCATTGGAACGTTGTTTATTCTGAGAATTCTAGACGTATCTGTTTCCAGTTTAAATTATATCTGATAGCGTTATCTTCTATGTTACTAGTATCCTGAGTTTCGCCAAGCTGTTTTCTATTAACCCTGTCTCCCGTTGTCTCCCGTGTCTTGTCGACCCTGGAAAGACGATCTATCCATCTTGTTTTTATAACTTGAGCGGCATTCTAGTCTCTGGCCACGTAAAGAAAGGTAAAAATTAAGTTCCGTTTATTAAATGGAGCGGAGACATAAGTTTCATCTATCATAAGTATTAGTAGTAGAAGTTGACCGTTTGTGATATGTCTTCTTTGAAACTCGTAGGTGCTTTGACAGAGTTGAGGCGAACATCTAATGGCCTCTAATGAGACTGTACCTGGAGGTCATACATGTACCGTAACCATTACACTATGTGCACACTAGGAACGTGCCACAGACGTTTTAAGTAGGAAACGTGTTGACAGTAACATCACGTAGCAATGTGTCAACTGTCTCACAGGAGATAGCATCAAACCTGGACTGTCCTGGAAGCTATCCAAAAGTCAAAACGCATGTTGAATGGAAGAAGGCATTCTCTGTATTGCTTTTGCTACTTTTTCTCTTCTTCTCCAAACCAAAAAGGCCAATGGTCTGAACCAGACTGTCTGTTACCATGGTAACTAGTGTTGGGTTACATCATGTTGCAATTTTATAGCAGGAGGGATTTAGACTCCTGTCACTGTATGAATACAGAGCAGTCCATATGCGAAGGAAACATTACACATTTGCTTTGAAAATGTTACCTTTCTAGTCTTATAAAGGTTTACACGTATATTACGTTTGTTTCCATCACCACTCCCACCTCGATCGACAATGGATCGCCCCTACGCACACAGCCCATCTGTAACTGTAAGATTAAGAGTTTTATTTGTGTTTGACAAACAGCAGAGCCGCACAAGGAGGCGGCCAACATGTGTTGAAAGACTCCTGCCCTTCGGTCAGACCCAGACTCAGACATCGTTACGCGATAGGAAGGACCTCCCCGAACTGTAAAGCACGGCGACGGAGGAATTCCAAAATCTGCTGCATTCTAAAATCTGCAACATTCCAAAATCTGTTGCATTCCAAAATATGCATGGCACACGATGGAATGTCAGATCCAGGAATACGGCTACATATTCCAGAATGGCAGAAACTGGCAGAAACTGTTTCGTATGGGACAGTTAAGCCATAGCCGAAGCTGTAGGGCTGATATCAATTAGGTTTTTACCATGGTCAATATAAGGAGCTTCTATAATTTTAAAAGCTCCTTGGTCTATATTGTCATATTGACTGAAGTTAGGCCATATATCCAACATGTGGCCCATATTCTAAATCACCAATGATATAGCACATAATATTCAAGAATACAACTGCATATTCCAAAACGTGGACAATTCTAAAACATGTCATGTTACACTATTATAGAATGGCACATCCTGAAATACACTGCATTTCAAAATGTGCTCAATTCCAAAATGTGCATCATACCAAACCATGCTGTAGCACACGTTACAGCGTTAGGATGCTGTGAGATGGCATATTCTGGACTACCACACTGAGCAGCCAACTGACAGTGATTTGTTATATGTATTTGTTCCGCAGGACAGTGTCAGACAAAGAAAAGGATACAAACAACAGTTGAGTATATCATTAGCCTGCCAAATCGTCGTGAAAGGAACTGTTGACAGGTCAGAACGGGAGCTGCAAACGTTGGTTTAATCTTTGTGGGAAAGCTTGAATCGCTCTTTGTGACCTTTATCCGACGTATTGACTCACTATCAGTAGCGAACAACAGTCGGTCAGAGGTAGAGCAAAGAAGCTGGTGCCAACCCCACACATAAATGTCAGAGTTCGGCTCTAAAAAAAAAGTGTCCCTTTCTGCCGCACCGGCCGGGCATTAAAAAGAGGGACCCAAGAATGGTTTAATTGACTCGCTGCTCTTGCTGAAAAACGGTCGGGCAAAAGGCCAAAGGTAAACAAACTGATACACAAAAGATCAGTGGTGTACATGTCTGGTGTGTTTAAAAACGGGTAGCTGCCATTCTTTGTGGTTAGAAAATGTATATAGACAAGTTATACCGATCGTACATGTAAACAACGTCTTGTTGAGAAGGTAAACAAATTTACATAAAAGGGTACACAAAATACGCGGTCACAACAGGTGTGTAGGTTTTAATTTACGACTGTGTTGATTGTTCTGAGCGCTTCGTAGATCTTATCAAAGTGTTTCGTTAAAAGTTCACAGAAGAAAGGAGTTGGTTGAAAGGGACGAATGAATGACTGCAGACTGACTGACAGAGAACCACTTGTTCTGTGAAAACAACCCTCGCACTTGTTTCGCTCACTCCGACGGCTGATTTGCATGCAGCATTGTGTGACTGTTACCTAGTATTGCAGGAACTGAGACGAGGAATCTTTAGGTAGCTCCGAGAATGCAATAATTTTTCATGTAAGCATAGTAAACTTCTCTAAAGTTTTAACGTTAAACGCTTAAGACGACAAAGACTAAAGAGTGTGATATATTCCATCGTATCATTATTCACAAATAGATGTAATATGTTTCCTTGCTTTGGCTGTTTTCATTCCTTTTCTTTATATTAATTTTGTACTTTGCTTAGATTCTTTCATTTGGTTTGTACAAAAGTTCCTAAAAAGTACTTTTGTAAAATTTGCCCACAAAGCAACAAACACAAAGTTTACTCCGAAATAAGTGCACATTGTTAGCCTCTTGAGGTACGAGACTATATATAGTGCAATGCAGCATTGCAATCAATTTTAATCGATTGTTCCACAAATACCTTTCCAGGATGTTGGTAAGTCCCACTCGTCGAGTGGGTCCAAACCGTCATGAACAAACCACAATGGTTTTAAATTTTACATCCCTAAATCCGCCCTTCTTTTCTAACCTGATTAACGCTTTATTCTATCCACCATTTTCATAAAATAAACTGTGATTAGCACGTGGGGAGGTCGGATTAGGAGCGTGCATAATTGCGTTACTGTGGATTTTGTGAGGAATTTTCCCGCCGTACATTGTTATGGGCGACCGCCCACTGTGGCTTTTGCAGGCGTCACAAAGATGGCGACCCGCGCTGACCTCTGACCCTGTTGTTCCAATCAATGGTCAAGATTGGCGGGCAGTGGTCTTGTTTGTATGGTAATCCGATCTGCCGGTTCTTTATCACGTACGGAAACATGAATATTCCTCGGTACTCAAACGAGCAGCCTACGCACTAGCAAAACTTGTCACAAATGTTTGAGGCAAATATTGAAGTTCAAGAAAAACAGACAGACAGTCGTTTAATGTACATTTATGTCGTTTTCAGGGGTGACTTCTGGGTCGGAAATGCTGTGACGTCAAGAAAAGCGTGAAAAATCGAATTTCACGCATTTTTTTCAACATGTGGGTCGCTTGGGTAACTCCAAAACATGCCCCACTTTTCACATTTGGCATCCTACAATTTTCACAAACTTTCAATTAACTATTTATTAAACCAATCATTACAAAGATCTTTACTTGATTTTCAAAACACAGTAACATGTAACAACAGAAAACAAATGCTTGAGAATAATGAGAATGAATATGATACAAGAAACAACAAAGGGTTTCCTCACACATGTATACATAACATATCCATAGTCACTGACGCCTTATGGCAGGACATATTTCCTTCTGTAGTATTGTACATGAGAAACGCACAGATTGAAAATACGCGTGATTACGCCAGAGGTCACTACAGGTCATCCCTTCCCATAGTAATTGCCAGCCATAATAAATTAACGCTGCAATATTTCACATCATTCTGAGTTCCTACCGAACAAAGAACAAACCTAGAAAACTACCCCTAACGGTTTAAACAGATGTCAGTCGGAAATTTAACAAAAGCTTTGTAGGTTTGAAAATGGCGACTGTATGTACAATGATTTATTAAGGCCAGACTGCGTTAAACATTATTTTTATCATCCACAGACTATACAGACGCAGGCAATCTTAACCTACACGTTTGAGAAAGAGATACAATAGTTCAGCAACATTCAGGCCTATGTAAACTCTTTCCCCTTCAATTGAGACTCAGTAGACTATATCATTACTCGGAATCATCCATTACAATGGGTACTTTTCTGGGCGACCGGCCAACTTGAAGTGCTACGCATTTTTGTCGTGCAGGCGTTTCCACATCAATGTTTAACATGCCAAAAGAACTGTAACAAACTCCCTTTCTCAGCTTACAACTAAATCTAATGTACTGTGTGTAAACCACGCGAATCTTTTGAAGTTCACGCCTAGTAGAGGGTGTAATCATTAAAGGGATTATAACCAATTATGCATGACATCGTTAACTCCTCAACCAAGACCCCCAAGGTATCACCCTTTCTCTAAACTTGTCAACAAGCACTAGAGGCTAGTAGAGCCATGTCGGCAAGCAATTTAAGAATGTACAAACATTGACGTCCAAACAACAAAGCTCGTTTGGGAACAAAATAATTTAGAGCCTACACAGAAACAAACATCGCATGTGTATCATATTTAGGCCCGCTTTGGTTTTAAAGTAGAGTTAAATCCGCTTTTTAAAGTGCTGTACTAAACTTGCTGTAACGTAACTGTAACAGTAGCTGTGTAATGTGGGTAGATTTGTACAGGTTGAACTGGGTAGGGAAGTGTAGCTATACACTGTACCGCTATCAGTATAAGCGTGTACATGTACAACTGGGGTCGCCGCTGGTATGCGTGCCTCGCGGGTATGTGTGATACACCCCGACCTGGGCAGTCGATCGCGTTTCAAGAACAGGAACAAGAAACATACGTCTTAAAACACGCCAAGGAGAACACACTCACCTCCGTACGCCGTTCTCAGGATTCCCAGCAGGACAAGACACCACAACATCGTCCTGTGAAGGGTAGAAGAAGAAGTGAACATCTTCTAGAAAGCTTATATGTCGACGACTCCACACCTAGTTTGGAGGTCTGCTCCCCCCTACTTGACCCAGCGAAGTGTGAGAAGAGATCTGGGTTGTGATTGGTTGACGGGGTTGTTGAATGACCAACAAAGGGGACCGTTCGTTTCAGCCATGAGTCACTCCGGATTTGTGATTATCTAAATCAGTAGTGACAACAAAACTAACAAAATAAGGGTTATTGTGTGTTGATGTTGTTACTGTTGGATGACACGTTTGTAAACAAAGGATAAAAAAAGCAAACAATTACATTAACAACAACAACAAATAACATTAATTGTTGTTTGTGAATGATGTACAAAAATGTATTTATCTTTTAATTAATAATGTCCTCATGCTGGAATAGGGCAACTTTATTTTGAAAGTTGCATAGCACTTTTTCTTAAAGTTGAGCAGCACGAAAATCAAATTTTAGTAAAATACATGTATATCATCTGTATGTCATGCAATCGGCCCACACTTTGAATGTGCATTGCAATGTCCTTTTCCCCATAAGATATTTCTAGTAACTGACTTTTTGTGAATTCTACATCTATTGATGATGATCTGCAAGATATTATTATTGCTGTCTTCAACTGTAAACTATTAATGCAACACTCGGAAGTCTCAAACCCTTGCATACTAGTACTTTTGGCCATGTCCTGTGCTATAACATAATTCAAGCTGTCTAAAGAGGCGCCGTACTAATATATTCCGCGGTGCAGTTGAATAGAACGATTCTACCTCCAGCTGCAACCCTGGGAAATTCTGTACGCAAATTCCGAGCAAACTGGCGCCCACAGAAGACAGACCTACAAAAGTGCCCAATTTTCGGCCTCAATGCCCCGACGGGCTCTCCTCTATTCTCTCTCTCATCGCTGATAATCGCCAATTTTCCTTTATTGTGCTACGCGACAATATGTAGAGGTCGCGCTGGTCGCGTATGGTGTTTTTGTTGTACAGTGCACATGTATGAAGACATTCAAATCCAAGTACAAACCCATGAATTGGGGCTTTTGCAAATGATGTACAAGAGGGGTGTCTTCAAACCACCCTTCCCCTGATATTTCTGAACCAGCCCTTGGCGGAAAGTTCTTTTTTTTCTACAGTAAAAAGGCTTATTCATGCGATATTTCTGTACATGACCACATTTCCGTCTTTCGGCCTACAGTCTAGCCCACGACATTATGACGTCATGTTTACTCAGGGACACCCTTCCATACCATACATACCTTATATGGGGGTCTTTCGCGCCATATTTCAACATGACGCATAAACTTATCTTTTGCCCATGGCTAAGCTTAGGGTCTGCGTAGTTTTAAAGACTACGTTATTAAGTACCTAAGTACATACTAGGAGCTTTGCCCTCCTTGGTACATGTACATCGAAACAGATCCATGAATTTATGTATTTTGTCGATTTGTTATTTTTCTGTGGGGGTATTTATGAAAATGTGATAAAATGTACGCTGGTTGAATGCTATATAGACTAATAGAGAGGGAAATATAATTATCACGAGTACAAATTTTATGATAAAATTTTATGATAAAATAACAGTAGCTAGACTCGACGACCTTTACAATCTCCAAGCAGATATAGGGAGCAGCTAAATGTTTTACGCATGTTTTTATAACCCCAATAATGAACATGCAGTTTTCACAGGTAGAGCAAACAGGAAAAACAATCGCATAGAACTTGTGCCCCCGTGACCTGCAGTTCTCACGATCAATCACCTAATTGAATCTTTTGTCACTCCGCCAGTATGTCAAACTAAAGGTGTGTTTACATAATGGTTCAAGGCCCCCTACGTCTTCCATTGTTCTACAGGTAAAACAATTCTTCGGTCAGAGGTCATTTCCTTCAACCAGGCCTTTAAATGCGAAGGAAAAACAAGGGGGTTGAAAGGCGATCTTCAAGGCAAATATAGAGTTAGTAAACACCATACTTAACATCTAAAATGGTAACAAAAGTTATTAATACACTACTGGTAGGTATTTTTTAATGACGCTCAAAACAAGATTCCTACGAAGAATGTATACAGAAAAAATGACAATCAAAATGACGTTTTCTTGAAATACACACACCCAGTTCGTGAGTTAATGAACCTTCCCCGGATATTGACCTTGAAAACATTTTACCTCCGTCAGAGCTAAGGAATGTCCGAACTTCCCGCCCGCCAAAACTTCCGCACTCTGCAAATTTGGGCAGAAACTCAAAACATGACCAAAAGAAAACCATACACAACTCCCACGGTACTGAGAAGTTACTATTAAATTAGATTTAAAATGTACGCATGATGGTGATGAAGTTAACTTAAGGCATCCAATGCGATTTGAAAGCGGCAAAACAAAATATTCTAGACGAGGAAATCTGTCTTAACACATTTTTGTCATCATTTCATACTTGAAGCGTTCAAAATAGCAACAAAACAAGCTACCTGAAGAGTCCCTTTGTTTTTGGTACCACCAATAAATATAGCTAGAGCCAACCTTCAATACGAAACAAGCAACCGTTTTTCATCGTATTTTTGTTTCACAGATGTTAGTATGCTATATGGGACAGGGTTTATTCAACTTACTACATTTTAAAAAAAATAATCAGAAAATTGACCTTGAAAATCCAGTTTTACTGTCTTGAAATCGCTAGACGTTTTGATAAAGCGCTACTGCCAAAATGTCTGCATTCTGGCCTACTAGTACCAAAATAAAAAGGGAACCAAGTGTTACGTATGTGGCCTGTCAAATACTCATTGGACACATGTGAGCCTCTACTGTTTGTTTGTGTGACTGGACGGTGTTGACTACTGCGTGTGCACATGTCATGGAGCAACGGAGAGAGGAATCGGGTCAGTTTTAAAGGGGACAGTTCATTTTAATGGTAGAATGGTGCCAACAATGATAACAGCAACGACGATGATGATGATGATAAAAATAAAACAGGATTCTTAGGTACACAAAAGCGGACTTGACTTTGCTAATTCCTGTTCAGTTGAAAACTCGGGGGGGGGGGCAAGAGTAGCCAAGTGCTATAAAACCTGCGCACGTCGCGTGCCACCTTGCACCAGGTGCCTTGTACGTCACCTTATATATAAAGGACTGGCATGAGTCATATGAACACCTGAAACTATTTTGGTCCACCGTATGTAACGTTATATATCCTGTCAGGAAAAAAGTGCAATGTCATACGGGCTTACACTCGATATATGTGGGGGTTTGCTTCGCCCTAACAGCCCTGAATGAAAATTTGTGGACTGTCCCTTATTTCTGACAGCACTAGACCTATACACAAGCAGACAGTGCCCTCTAACCTGTGTGTGGACACCTGGTTTTGCCTGATCAGAGACCAAATAGAGCAGTAAGAAGAACCCGTCATCCAACAGAACCTACCACAAACACCACAGCAGCAACAGACGCTTACAACGGATAACAGACCTGCCATAACCACCTGTTGTTGTAGGTTTAGATTTTGTATCAAACGCTTTCGTGTTTTGGAACGTATTCTCAAAAAACGTTCAACCTACGATGCTTCGTGACATTGGCAGTACCTTCGTAAGCACAGGGAAAAAGCAATATTCAAAATTCTACATATGTATCAAATAAAAGGGCATTTTAGAAAAACACTCAGAGCAATACTTTTTACACATTTAACCAACATTAGACAAGACAACTGACTTCAAGTTCATTGATGTTGTAGTATACGCTTAAAACGCGAAACGTTGTTAAAATCATAACCCCAAATTTTAATGTCGAAAATGATGGTGTTTGTTTACAAAATAGCTGCTTTTGTCATCTTCGTCATGCCAGAAGACCATGAATAGCGATGACCCTTAAGCTTTAGCCATGGTTACTATTTATAGAATTTTCACGCCAGACCTAGCGGTCCATATGTATAAATAGATAAACGATAAAGAAGAAAATTTTGCGTCTATATAGCAAAATCATACGTATATGCTTGCCAAACCAGTGAATATTACTGGGGTCTCTACAACAACTATTCCTATTAAAACGACATAAAACACAGTCGGGTCACATAGCATGGAGACACATTGTTATGTCGTGGCTGAGTAGGTCACCCTACAAAAGACCCTCCGACCCTGCCTAGTCCACACAATGTCTTCCCCATACCTTGGCATTACGAGGCACATATGAAACACTATATAGCTACTTTTTAGTTTGTTCTTAGGCTTTTACGGTGTCAACATGGCATATCTGTGTTCACTGACACCTGTTACTTGGCAAACAAAACCGCGCGAGGCTTAGATCCGAAGCTTAGACCGACCAAATGACGCATGTGGCTCGTGGTGTGAATCTGTCGTCTGATATTTACCTCAGAAAATGTCGTCTGATTTTCTGCCTAAAAAAATTTCTGATTTTTACCTCAGAAAATGTCTGATTTTTAGCTAAAGATTAGGTGAAAAAGTGTTCCTCTAAGTTGTAGGTAAGAAAAACCTTGCGACCATCTGGTAATAGAATCTGCTGGAAGCAATACGCCTTTTTATGTCAGGACACAATATGGCCGTCCGAAAACACGTTACTGAATCTCTTTTCGTGTCTTCAAAACAAGTCTTTCTCATCTTGAGTTATCGGTCTAGTTCTGAACGCTTATGTCAAACAAATGCCATGTTTTACACTGAGCCAGTCCCGTGTACTTCCAGCCCTATCCTACCTCTAGCACCACGTGAGGTCCCGTTATGCACATAGCTTTCCGGTCTTAAACACCTTCTATCGCCAATAATAACCGGTCCAGACGATAACAAGGTGATAAACAGGTTATCACAATGCTTACCTTATCATTTTGGGGTTCGGCACTGGTAGATATTGGAGATATCGAGCAAAGATGTGGTCTAAACAGGAGCAGAGACGTTGGTTCAAAGGCCGTCGCCTGTTCACGTAGCGTCCCTTTGGTAATTTGAATACACCTTGATTTAGCCTACCTTTACTCAGGTTTCTTTTAGGACTATACCACATCTTTGTAGGGGGGCACGTAAACCTGGCTGACATAATGATAGATCAATGCTTAAGTAATTCGCTACAGTAATGTACGTAATGTTACATTATAGATCAGATCCCACCGCTCAATTGCTATGTCGTAATAGGTTGTATTTTAGTGATAAATTTGTACAATTCTCCCAGACATCCCTACTTGAATGGTACCGTCCGCAGTCATGGCTCGCTCAGTAAACAACAATAACTCCTTTGAGTAGAAGCCGGCTAGAAAGGTAGTTCAGTTAAAGCGAAGAATGTAGAATATGTACTGGTTTTTAGACACAAATATATATTCATTTTCCCCCTATAAATTAGACCAGTACTCGGTTCACTATACTTCAGGGATCAGCATTTAATTTGCGTAAAAAAAATACAATGTTGTATCCTCAATAGAAGTATACAATTTCATAAACTACAGAATTAAACATCTTTGACATAGTGATGATATGTCAACTATATGGTATATATGTCTAGCATATATGCCACATAGGAATAAGATATGTCATACATCTGCATATATATCATATAGGGAAGTATATATACAAAAATGTCTCAACGTTGGTTTCTTATCCTTGTTAGAACTAATTGTATATGAAATATATATTGGCAAGTGCTTCCAGTGTTCCAAGAGTATCATTGTTGTCTCTTTCATAGACGGTATTACTGACGCTTTGTCAGATCCTTGCCTTGACCTGCAAAACATTCTCACGCAATTTGAAGCGGCGACAAGAAAAAGGCGCCGATTCAATTGGATTATAGGTCAATCATACAGCTCATGATTATGTATGCATTGTTGGAGTAACGCCCTGGTAAAGGAAACTAACTAAGCATGTCAAAATATCATGCTGCAGATATGAGTGCAGTGGACAGGGAGCGCTGCTGACATGTGAGCATCTCTGACATTAGTACAGAGATAGAATGGATGAAATGGCTACAAGATAGCACAAAAAAAACAAGTCACAAACAAAACATAAAACTTTTCATCATATATAAAATAACACCGTTTACACTGAATGCACGATATTGTATTGTTTGACCTATCTAGCCTGAGCGCCATTCTTTGATTTTATTCAATAGTGTGCCTGGGCTAGTCACATTTGTGGAGATAATTAAGAGGGTCAATTAAGTATCTCCTATGATTCTTGATTTTTAGAAAATATCACCTACTGAATATCAGATGCTGAAATAGCTTTTATGATATATGACACAGTACTGTATATCATAAGACACTTATATGCTAGAGGTACTCCGCTACTGTACCCCCAAGGCACAAGGTGTAGTCCAGTCCCTATCATTTTGAAAAGGCTCTGTTCAACTAAAAATGGCCGTACCCCTCCTGATTCAGTCAATAGCGGATTTTCCCGAGAATTTAATATTTTCCCTATACCCAAGAGTAACCGATGTACAGCTTACGTTACATCACATCTTAATCTAACGGACGACTTATATAGCACAGCGATGACGTAACCTCTTCCAACGTGGAAGGCGGTTCCTCTTGGGCATTAGCTCATGTTGGAACATTCCACTTCATTCATAGGGAATTCCATTATAGAATCGACGAAATAAAATCAAACACGCACCAATTTGTGGATTCAGTTCTGTTCAACGTACGTTAAGGAGTTGGTTTATTTTGGATCAGTTCTTTCATATAAATTGGTGAAGGAATTCAGTCATCTGTTAGAAGGAAAATTTGGTACGGTCCACATGCCAAGGGCCTGAGCGAACATACGGAAGTCACTGGAAAAGCAAACACATAGGCCAAGACGTTGATCGCTGTTGTGTTTTTGCGCCTTAACAGTTTGCAAAAGATGGGTGTGACACCTCGGTCTACAAATTCAAGGCTACGACCAAGTGGATAACATTTACAGTGACTTTATGTGGCCCAGTTCAAAGCATTTCTGAGGTAAGGGAAAGTGTTGTCTGTAATTTTCTACATTATCGTGTTACAGTCTTGAGTGAATGTTTTGCAGTAGTGAAAATCATACTGAATGTCTGGTGCCTAGTCTTAGAAAGGTAAGTGACAGTTATGTATGCAATAGAATATCCTCTAGACTGTTCTGTTCTGTATTTAGACAAAGTTTGCTGTCGTGGTGGTTCAAAGGCATGACAGGGCAATGTTGATGTTTAGGACATTTTTGTGTAAACCAGATACAGCACGGTTCTGTGGGTGTTCATTCGGGTCATGTCCCCTGTGTGAGTACCACAGACCGCGTTTTCAGGTCACGAGTTTAGCACTGAAGAGGAACTGGGCATAGCTAAGTTTGTATCGTGTAATGCACTTCTATAAATTGAGCTACAGCACACTACCAACAAGTAAAGCTTGACGACGAGGCATTGCAAATGTGCTTCCGTAAAAATAATGTGACAAAAGAAGGAGGAACAACTGTAATTTGCAACAGTACATAAAATCAAAATTACATGATTGCAACAATCCTTAACGACTAATTTGCTACAGTCATGCGGGTAATTATACATAAACAGTGCGTGAAATATAACGTTAATTTTGGCGGGCGTATAGTTGTTTGAAAGTGCACCGAAAATCGCGCTATTTGCTCAGTTTTGTGTCGTACAGTTTGCTTTTGACTTTAGAAGTTTATCTTCATTAAGGGATAAGGATAAACAAATGGCCTCCTGACATTTGCCGTTAGACGGTTAAGCTTTGCATTGTACCAAGGCTTTAGTGTTCAAAGTCTCCCAACGTTATATTTTAAATTTATCCTCTTTTATTTAAACCGTTGCTGTGCGCAGCGTATAGTAGCTGGCTATAGTAATAATGGAGGTCAACAAAGACTAGGAAGTTGGCCAAAAGCACCATTCAGTTCTTTGTCGCTAAAAGGGAAAGGGGCCCGAAACAGGGAATGCGCTAACCCAAAAGTGGGCGTTCAAAACGTAGCTAATCATACGTTAGAGATATCTCATGTTGCAATCAAATACTCACTGAGGAAAGCATGGGAGTTATAGTCCTTACACGTAACTGTTAATGTAATCCATAAGGGGATACGCAATGAGGTAATGTATGTACAATACCCGATGAACTGTACCGTTGTGACCAAGCAATGTGGGAATATGATATTTTCTGTGGGGTTTGATATGGCTCACACAGGATCAGACATTTGAACTACAGACTGAAAACTTGTACCCGGTGGTTTTGATGTTTTACCAACTGTAAGGATGACATCATGTTGATAGGTGGTTACGGGTCGGCTGACGGGGGGAGGGGCGGAAATGGAGGTCACTTAGGTCATGATAGGAACATGCACCGATGAACTAGCAAGATAACCGTGCCAAAAGGAAGCTTGTACTTTGATATTGCCGACGTGACTAACATCTAACTGGGCTAAAATCATGCGGGAACAGTTGTTGCACTAAATCTGTTCCACATAATAGTAGTATATACTGTTTCGAATTCTTGGAGGCATTGGGTCACTATCGTATATGACCTCAAAGTTCAAAGTAGGCAAGTTAGATTACGCGGGAATACCGTAGCACCACATCTGTGCCTGATACTTAGTACTTCCAAGTCCTGCAGGCATTGGGTTCCCTAGTGTATATGTATATACATGACTCATTACATACTACAAAATCTACTAGTATACCAGGCCAGGCGTAAACCTAGCTCTCTGCTTGTCACCCTGACAGCTTGAAGTTTCTCCCTGCTAAGCTGCAATAATGTTACACTCAAACTCTATATGCTGCAGTACATATGATGTGAGTACGGTGGCGCTGTCGCTGGTAAACAGAATTTAGCAATCAAGACACGTACTCTAAAGATACATGTCCAGAACTGCAGCGGCTGGCCAGGTCTTTGGCTGAAAGGTCTAGCACTGAAGGCATTTGTGTCATTTCTTTAACAATTCGCACTAAACGTACAACTGAAGAGAGTCCAAGCTTTGCTTGTTGTGGTTGTTTATCGAGGTAACAGGTGAGTATGTAATATTTCAGTCACAACGTTGTAACGTTTTTTTAATGCAGCAGAATCTAAAGTAGGGCAATATGTCAGATTTGCAAATGCTGTTTCGGTGTAAAATTGATGAATGAAAAGCTGGACGAAAAAGATTTTGAGGAGAAATTAGGGGGAAAATTGTATGATGAGAATTTGCACTGGATACATAGGATTTTACAATCTTACAATACAATGTAAAAATGCAATTGAAGTCTATTTACGATACCTTAGCATAAGATTAATCATTTTTATGATTGAGTGACATATTCCAATCAATAATGTTATCTTTTGTTAATTTTACAGATCTAGACCACGCCTTTCAGCATGAAGTGGTCGGAGCTACTGGACAGCATAGAGCGCGAAGTGAAGGAGGTTTTCTCCAACAAGAGATTTAAACTGGACGTACTGAAGGAAAATATTCATAACGGACCAAGTACACTCATAGACATCAAGGTTACTGACAAAACATCGGGTAGGTCTCCATTTGGACGTTGCCATTGTTTTTTTTTTCCTTATTTAATGAAATGGTTCTGAGAATTACTAAGTCATTGTTTACTTCTTTATATTTTACGGCATTTTAAATTATATTTTCAATCGATGTTTTTATGTAGTTCCTTTTTGTCTCCACAGGAAAACGGTTGCTGATTGACTGTCATCAGCTCAAGAGGAAAGAACTGCGAATCCAGGAAGTGGATTTTCTGGCAAATTATGCCTCTGATGAACACTGTACGCACGCGGCACTCATAGCATCTCCGGACTCTGACCTCACCGACCAAGTCCAAGAACATGCAGTACGCGTGGGTGTCGCTATGGTGCGCTTTCAACCCAGCACGTTCAGACGAAAAATCGGACAGGTGTTCAACAACGGTATGATGCTTCAACAGAAAATGCAACATGGCGACGCAAGGAATAACGACATGTCATCGAACTTGAAACCGACGGTCAGAATCTATACGCAGAATGAGAAAAACTCGGGAGCAAACACTTGTGTTTTAAGGACAATTCCTTGCAGAAATGTGAATGGGAGGTACCACCTTAAGTCAGAGGGGGTGTCATCTTCTAAAGCAACACCTAGGGACTTAGTTTCTGGGTCATGGTGGCTCCGGAAGGGGACATCGACTCTCTGGAAAACTAACACAATTCAAGTCCAACCCTCTGATGTTTGGCAGATTCATCAGGTGCCAGCAGACGCCCAACAGTTGCCTGAAAATGTATGGGAGGATCTGAGTCTACAATCTCAGGTCATCACTCTCCACAATTCCGTACCAAGTGCTGTTCAAAAACAACGGTATAGGAATGTTTTGGGATGCAGGGATAATTCGTTATGGTTGTTCAACACAAAGTTGCCACAGGGTCTTAGTCACATCTTTGGGGTGCCAACCACACCGACCATACAGCCATTGCGTAGACCGACCGCAGGTATTGTACAGGGCGATGGGTACTCTACAGAGAGGCAGACGACAGTGGGGGACGGTGCGTTTTACAGTACTTCGCAGCGATTTTTCACAGCAACCACAAGTTCCTCACAACCAAAAGAAGAACGTCCCAAAGATGTCACTGAGGACTTGACAACCTCGCACACGTGTACACTCATTCCGAACCCGACGTCACGAACACTGACCGAAACGACACGAAGAAACCCGACGAAGCTGTTCGACAAAACGTCGCAAACTCCGACTTCTCAGGAAACCGGAAGAGTCACCGGTGTTCTTCAGAATCAGCCACAGAGAAATGGGACCAATGGTGTCAGCGTTGTATTGGGGTATCCAAAGGTTGTAAAACAACACGTACTGGAGCCCATAGTCACAGTTGTAGGCAGAGTGGGAGAGGTAGCTATAGTGAAGACCATGTCAGTAGCTCTATTTCAGCTGAAAGCAATCGTTGATACGCTGTATCCATTGGTGGGGGTGCTTCCCTCACATCTCGTGAAGACCCTTGCTTACAGTATGCATCTAGTACGTGTGTCGACTACGCTGATTCGAAGAACGCCGCAGAGACCCGCCAAGAAACCGAGGAGGACAAAGCAGGCCGCCCGTCGAGTCACACCCCAGTGCGCTCAAGGTGGAAGGCTATTGGTGCAGGGTTGGCGACCAATCGTATCTCAGCAAAACTTTCGACCAATAGGAAATCAGAGGCAACAGCCAATCAAAATGCCAGGCGCCGCAACTGTGTGTCAAATCGGACGACCTCAGCGAATCGGCGCCCATGCCATTGCAGAGCAAAATGGCTCGGAGTCAACTCAAGATGGACTGAGAAACGAATCCAGTGAGGGTGACAAAAATGTCCTGTCGGAATCAGACAACAACTTACTTCACTCACAGTCGGCTGTAGCTGAAGTCATCCCCGTTAAAATGGAGCCAAGCAACGAAGAACAGGCCTGCAACTCTTCCGCGAACCACGCCAATGACGTCGAGTCTCTGAGCCCTGTGAAGTCAGAACACTTAGAACAACATGACCTTGAAACGTCCTCCAAAGTTGCGTCGACAGAAACCTCCAGCCATGACCAAGGGGTTCCGCTAACTGCTACAACATGCAAATTGGAAAGCGTGGAAGATTCCATGGTAAAGAAAGAAGACCCGCGCGAGGGATCACGGGATGCTGGTAGAGGAGCTGGTTCCTCCGATGACGACAGTGAGGATGACGTCAGTGATGACGTAATGCCGAAGCCTGTGGTCCATGGCTTGTTTGAACCCCTAAAGGCAGACAGTAATGTGAAGAGTGAAGCAGCGACAGACGAAAGCCACGATCCTGAACATTATGTTGGAATAAATACCGGAGAACACACACTGATCCTTTCCGACGAAAGCGACGAGGACAACGACATGCCGTTCAAGGAAGAACCGCTTGGCGGCGAAGGGCTTTTTGTCGGAAACCTGGCATCTAACAAGGCAGAGTCTTTGGATAGTGGCTGTGTGGAGGAACAGGGGTGCCTGCCGTCTTCTAGAAAGTCTTCGTCTTCTTCCTTCTATTCTTTCTTGTCTTTCTTTTCATTTTCGTCATCAGCATCTTCGTGTTCAAGCTCCTCATCCGACGGTGCCAAAATAAAGAAAGATGATGAAAAGGATACCAAAGACGACATCAAGACACCCAAAGTTGAAACTGTCGATTCAGAAGTTGATAGCCTGTATAACAAAGATGGACCAGGGAGTGAGGAGAAAGGCACTCCGTTTGATATCGGAGTAACTCCCAGTTCCCGTAAGTTTATATCGCGAGATTTCTCGTGGTCAAGCTCAACTTCATCCTCCTCTTCAGATTCAGTTTCTTTCGCAACGCCAACGAGGCTTTCCTCGGGAGAGATAAGCCGCGTGAAGTATTCCAACAGCCCGCTCAACAAGTACGACGGGTCTCCGGACATGCGAGTTCGCGTGAACAGGAGTAGCATGCTCGGTTCTCCCGACAGAAGCCCCAGGAATGCCAACGGAACGCCAGACATGCGGTGGACGGGAAACAGGGAGTCTCTCTGCGGGAAATCCCCGCAGGGACTCCCGCTGAACGTGAACAAGTCGCCGGACATGAGATGGAAGTTCAACCGGGCTGCACTTCTACAGAAGTCTCCGCAGGGGGCGCTTCTGAACGTGGACGGATCTCCGGACAGGAGGTTCAAGGTCACGCGAAATCTCGCGAGGAAAGGACAAAGTAACGTCAGTACAAGGACACTGGTGTTCAACTAGAATATGTTACATCATATTTCTACATGGACGAAGTAGCGCTATATTCAGTTCAGTTCAGTTCCGCTATATATGTATACGATAATTGTATTTTACTTGTTTCTTTGCTGAAGGATCTTTCTAAAATACATATGTAATAGAGATCTGAAGCCATTATTTCCAATGCTAAGGACCAAGCAAGCTATATTGATAATAAAAAGAAGCATATATAATATATATATTTATTTCTATACTATACAATCCTTTATATCATACCCATATGCCCGCAACTGTAATAATTGTGTCTAGAAATATATTATCCTGAATTATCTATAAATCATATTTCTGTAACGTATGCTTTTGTACGATACTCTAATGTATGAAACAGGAGGGTTGGCATTAACCTGGACGTAACTTATATATGGTTGAACATATTCACATGTACTTTTAGGAAAAATATAATATCAGGTCAAAAATATGTAATGTCTTGTCAATGGCAAAAAATAAACGTTGTCGATGTTGTGTTTAGTTCTCTAAGTGAGTCAGCGGTGTATACAGAGAATCATATGGGTTGTGAAATAAGTTATGTCCCTTTATAAGCATCTGTAACAGGCTTATACAGGAGTACCCAACACACTGAAGGCTAGATAGAAGCGCCACTTTATCAGAATCAAACGGCGTCTAGCTATACAGATATTCTGGCCATGTCCAGCCCCAGGCTGTACGTGTTGTAATGTCTACCCAGTTCTTTATGGACTAGACCCGCCTTTATCCAGCTACAAACGTCATTCAGTGAATGACATTGTGAACAGGACCTCCATGTGATACAGACGACTGTACCCATAAGTGAAGAACACATGGGTGCGGGGACACCATGTTAAGATTTGACGGGGTATGGGGTCTTGACTGACCCACTTTTCGAATCGCGCGTTTGGTATAGTCTTGTCGACAACTCTGTTCGGTACAACACTGTACAACAGTATGGCAGCCAACAACTACACCGGGACTTGGACTTTGGATTCTTCGGACAACTTCGACGAATTCATGAAGGCGATAGGTTGGAATCTTTCTGTTTCGTGACAGTTTTTCTATTTTGTAGACATTAATTTAGAATCTACATCACTTTTCAAAGCACGGTTTGATGATTTCTTGACAATGGATTCAAAACATGGGAAGGACAGCAAATTCAAGAAATTACGAAAACGTCCTTCCACTAGACAATACTAGTAAGATATATCTGACTAAATGAATCTATTTGCCTTGGAATGATTTGGGCTTGGCAGGGCGTAGAATTCTGCGGCTCCACGCCAAAATTCCATTTCCTAACTTGGCAGATAGGGGGCGTAGTTCACAAGTATGGGGCTGGTGCGGCTCCTATGATGAGGTTATGGTGGTGGAGTGGGGTACACTGTATCACGCTTATCACATTGCAATCGATAAAAGTTCTACCTATAACAGGGTAAAAGGATATCTTAATACGAGCTGTTGCTACATGTTTATGTACATACTTCACATTCGTATTACAAGTATAATCTTATAGTGACGGAAGCTAAGGGGAGGTTCAATATTGTCTTTGACAAGTTGCAACATGTTAAGAACACTAGTACCATATAAAACGGCACATCAATATAACGTTACGTTACCAAACGATTTATGAAAGAACTTGGTAACAGGAGTCTAAATCCCTCCTGCTATAAAATGCAACATGATGTAACCCAACACTAGTTATCATAGTGACAGACGTCTGGTTCAGGTCATTGACTTTAACGGTTTGGAGAAGAAGAGGAAACAGAGCAAAAACAATGTTTCCCTTCGGTAAACATAATGATATTTCCAGGGGTTGGGGAAGAGATGAGAAAGGTCGGCAACGCCGCCAAGCCGACGTTTGACATACTGCAGGAGGAGGACCGGTTCACGTGGACCACCGTGACGGAGGTGGGGGAACACACCAACTCTTTCACTATCAACAAACAGGTGGAGGAAACCGTCATGGACGGCACCAAGAAACTGGTGTGTACTCATTTCCTACCTTAAAGTAGGATGTCGCATATAGTATTACATATTGTATTATTAAATGGTGTATCATATTGAAGCCTACACGGGCTGGGCGCGGGAAGCGCACAACACGGAAATAAACCTATTCATTCATTCATTATAGTTCGCTTAAAAGCTACGGATTTAACTTTTAAATTTAACTTAAAAGTTAATATTTAACGTTTCTTAAACTGTATCACCATCGAATAAGTCGATCATTTAAAAAACGAAATGTGTAGAAAAATAACATAGATCGAGTATAAATCGGGGACAATCACAACAAGGATCAAAATAGTAGATCCTGTATTTCGTTTTACGATTTTATGTACATGTATTTTGTGACCTGTAAATTAATTTTGGTGACGCCTCTGGGGCGGAGGCATTTTATCATTTTCTATTTATGAATCATGTTTTCGTATCTTCATTAGACCACCTATATCTGGAACGGGCCGAAGTTAGAGGCAGTGTACGACTACCAGGGACAGCCTGTAGTCATCTCTAGGGAGGTGCAGGGTGACGTCATGACAGCAGTTAGTACACCTTTCTAATCATGTAAAACCTGAAGGGGATATGGGGTCGTGTAGAATGGGGACTGTCTATATTCTTGATGAACGTTTTAAATACATACGCATCTTTAAAAAGATCCTCAACTTACCAAATTATATGATGTACAATGATACACACAAAATTAATTAATCAAATCAGGGCAGTTTCTAACTAAAGTCTTTGTTTTTGCATCCCAGGTTTTGACGGTTGGTGACATCATCTGCACACGGCAGTACAAGAGACAAACTTAAGAAACTGTCAGCATGGAAATATGTCATGACTGTCAAGAAAGAGCTTGAAAGAGCTCTGGGTTCCAACCCAAAATCAATGATAACAGAGCAATATGGGGGTATTTCAGACAAGTTTCTGAAGCCTTCCTTATTGAATGGGATAGAATATGACTGTTAAAATTAGACCAAGACAGATTTGCAAAGTAGTAATTGATATTGACTTTGGATGCCAATTATCTGAATATTTGAAAAAATAAAAAGAACATTAACTTGCCTGTATGATAAGTGTATCAGTTATCTTGCTTTTGTCAAACAACAAATATTCTAGTCGCTACATGTATCACTTCGATGCATGTGCACCCATGGATTGCAAGTTATGGGTTCAAATCCCATTCAATCCCATTGCACAGCAACAGCGGAGTTGGCGGAACTGCTAATTAGTACCTTCCAGGTGTCGTAAGCCCCGTTTTCTACACCAATGAGAGTTGATTTAACAAAAATAACAGACGACATGATTGGTCGCTTGGAACAATCATAATTGCTTTATTACGTATCCCTTCCTTTAACAGTAAAGACCCATTCTGTCAACATCACTAATTAATTTTGGCCACCACAAAAACTAGTTTCTTTTTATAAATACATTGAAGCTTTCACAGAAATATTAGCCTGGGTACCATCCTACTTGTATGCCGGGGCTCCCACACTCGCTTCCCTAAGAAGTAGGGAAGCGAGTGTGGGAGCCCCGGCATACAAGTAGGATGGTACCCAGGCTACAGAAATATGTCATAATGAAAAAAAAAACTAAATCAATCTCTATGTGATACACACTGAAACAAAGGTTAAAAGTTACACCTCAACAATTTCATAGAAAATATAAAATTCAATAAACTATTCAGTAAACTACTTGAAAAGTGGTGACAACTTCTATATTTAT